TCTACTTAAGGCAGAAGTTAAGGCTCTACAAGCAGCAAATGAACAGAAAAAGAGGAGGGAAAGGAAGCGTAAGAGGCGTATAATGCAAGGGGGAACCCTCTCCGTACGAGATGCAGAGGATATCCTTCAAAGTGCTGAGGTTGATGCTCAAGTCCGTACGGAGGTGGCAAGTAGGACTACTCAGCAGGTGGGTTCTATAGGCCGACAGAAGCGCTGCGGCTTATGTGGTATTATGGGCCATAACTCCCGTACGTGCGAGAGGCCCAAGGATTCAATTACGATCGAATAAGGGTTATTATGTAGGGTGGTGGTGTAGTAGTAGGCAGTAATAGTCAATTTTGGTGTTTTGGTGGGCCACTCGTTCGGGTGGGCCACTCGTACGGGAAATACGTTATAGCTAGCCAATTAAATTACGCTTATGGGCGAAAATACCCCAGTTCATGCAACCTTTTATTTTAGGAAGTTGTACAAATTTGTAAGCTTACGCCCACTTGTAGGCACTAGTGTCGTCGCTGTGTAGCTTTAGACGTTAAACCCATATCTCTTAAACCCATATCTCTTAAACCCGTATCTCTTAAGCACGTGCTTATAGGGGCCCATTAATCGTACTTAGCCCTAGGTAGAGTGTACACTTTCTATAAAGGGAGTACACTTGCCATTTATAGAAACCTAGGTCTACCGTTAAAATGTTTTAAACTATAGTAGATTACTCTGCATAGTAGTTAGGGCATCTATCTTATGTACACTAACTTTAAAGAGGCGTTGTACGTAGGGTCTAGAATCGATAAGGTACTTAAAGAATAGGCACATAATGTTAGAGCTAATACTATACCGCATTGCGTCAGCCTAACATAATGCAACTCTTTAGTGATCTCTAGCTAGACGTTCCAAATCGGTAACCTAGCTAGAGATGAGGCGAGAAGGGGCTGTCGAAGAATCAGGAGGCGGTTAAAGCTGGCCCGCAGCCTCGTGCTGATAGATCCAGGCGACTCAAAGGGCCAGGCTCTGCACCGTCTCTCTATCCGCATCACTCTTTCAGTTTTCATCGCGATGATTACGATATGGGAGCGGTCTGAGCTCGCCTCGCTACGGCTGAGGGACGACCATTCCGCTGCGGGGTCTGCTAGCTGTGCTCTGCGCGTAGGTTGCGCTGCATCCCATACCGGGTACAGCATATCCACGGATCCGCCTGTTCGCTTCACTCACAGTCGGAGGAAGCAAGTGCGTCGCCTCACGACAAAAGAAAGTAAGCACATTTACATAGTAAATTGTATGTAAAGATACATAGAGGCCACTACTACCACTGCTACCACAATTTCAAAAGCTCTCGAGTGTTATCTTTGTTCTCAGTTTGTTACGCAAATTTTAATTTGCACCGTTCATGTAATCCCTCCCCCTCCACTTGAATCGATAGGATCTTGTGCAGGTCCAGTCTCGACATCACGTGAGGTCGTATCTTCGCTCAAGCTCTCTCTTATCCCCAGGCTGCCTCAAGCCTCTCTTCTGCCACGGCGTCATTCTAAACACGAAATCAACATGGGACCCTGAATATGAATACATCCAGCAAAAAGCCAAGTAGATGCTAAGTCTAACGCGTTACATTCGCTCAACTATCATTGATCATCAATCTTCCTTGACCGCCGGGACCTTTCTGCTGGCCAAAGTTTCCTCTCTCCACGCCCACATAGCCGTCATCGCAGCTCCCGGGCCAACGACAGCCGTCAGCCCAGCAAAAGTTCCAACAATCCTCCCCCAGCCGGCCGACAGTTTCCCGGCCCTTTTAAGGTCGCGGAAGCTCAGCATCGTCCAGATAGCCCCCGCACTAGATGCACAGATCTGATCGTACCTGAAGGTCTTCGCAAGACTTTGCATGACGGACACGGCAGCTGATGGATTCCTGATACCGCTGAAGAAAACTTCCGTTGCTGGAACTGGGGACCTAAGGCGGACGTATAAGAACGCACAAGCGGCGGCTATTCCGGCAAAACGATAAATTCGGCGGAGGTGTGGCATATCTGCTTCAGGGTTGTTGATGCGATCTTCGTCAGTGGTGTCCTTGACGAACCTGCTGAGGACGTGTTGGAGGATGGAAGCGTAAATTGGAAATGGCTGCCAGAATATGCCGTTGATCCATTGGCGGGTGAAAAGAGTTGTGGCTGCAAACATTCCGATGGTTGGGAGGACATATGACAGGAGGATTGTGGGAATGATCGTTTTGACAGGGCCCATCTGGGTGAGTCTGTTGTCCGCTGCATGATAGTTCTCGAGCGGGGACTGGACGTAGTGGAGGAAGAAGTAGATTGGCGCAACGTAGCCGATTCCTTTGAGTTGGTAAAGAATTCCAAAAATCGTTGGCCTATCCTTGGTAAGTGATGGTTTTTTTTACGAGATATGTTTACTTACAATAGGTTAGAGGCCGTGAGAAAGTTGCCACGTCTAATCGACTCAATCATGAATATAGATTGGATTGGGATGAGGTCCCCCAGGAGTGATATCATCTGCATCCGGCTGGCAGGGTCTTGTCCCCCAATCGATGGAGTGAAAGCTGCAACATAGATACCAATGAGGTCATCAATACTCTTGATTCTGAAATAGCTGGTGACCAAAGACGCCACTTTCCCACCGCCGAGAGCGATCTCTCCCGTTGTGAGCGCACTCTCAAGTATTGGAAGGGCATTTTCTAAAGCCGGGCCCATTGTCTTTCCGCAACCATAGAAGATGGCAAGAAGGGGAAGAGCATATAGTGCTCGGATCAATTTGCTTTCGTGCTTTCCGACACCCATCTCGGGATTCCAGGGCATTGTCGCTGTAAGGGACTTTGGCGGATGGGGCAGGCGCTCTAGAATTTCTGCTCCAACCATCGAATCACATGTAATATCAGCGAGGAAATCACCCAAAGTCGGTATAAGGTGAAGCGCAAAAATATTATGCGGCAGAGTTGCTAATGCTTCGATTCGGGTTAAGTCATTGGCTGATTTACAGATGGCGTTTGCACGTTCGTGTCGCTTCTGGTAAAATTCTTTCAGCACCTTTCGAACCTCATCCAACGAAGGATTTGGACCGAGTCTTGACATGCTGTTAGCCAGTGCTGCTGCACTCTCAACTGCCGCATTGCCTCCAGCCCCCAAGTTGGGTGTCATCTGTTTCGGATTAGTTTGGTGAAACTTGAGCTTTGAAATCAGCCTACCTTGTGTATAGAATCCCCCAAACACACAAATCTATCTGAGGTCCAGTGCTCATTCGTAGATTCTTCAACGCAGCTCATGCTTGCGAATGTCCGCTTCTCCCACACCATTTTAAATGTGATTGTGTCAGTCATGTAGATGTTAAAGAATGGCCTTACAGCTTCTTCTATGTCGGCCTTTGTGTACCGTGGTATATCCTTGCCGTGATATCTTTTGTCCATCTTTGAAAACAAAAAGAAGTATACAATTCCACCTTTCCCAATGAAGGAGAGGGTTGAATGGCCCTTGGAGTAAGACCTATGCGAATCTCCTGGGTGGACAACTCCTTCAACGGAGTCTCCAAGCCCAAAAATGCAATTATATTCCGCAGAGATACTGTTTTTGTCGTTCATTGTGGCGCCAGGGCTTGTTATCTCGATATGCTGCTGCATCAAAGTTCTCACTGCACTGTGTATTCCATCCGCGCCAACAATGATATCTCCCTGGTAGTTCGTTCCATCTTGGCAGTGTACGACAACGCCGGAGTCGTTGTGGTCCACTTTGCATACCCGCTTTAAGGTGTGAACCTTGGACTTGTCCGGGATGTGCTTATAGAGAACCTTCAGCAGATCGCGGCGCTGTAAGAATGCGACGGGGTATCCCGTTCTGAGTTATAATATCAGCATGTTATATTGTGTTATACTTCCTATCCAAACGCACCTAACTCTAGTCAGAAGAGGCGAGTTGCTATCCACAACCAGTTTTCCGTCGCCAGTCCAGCTCAGTCCATTCTCTAGCGGCTCTACCATGGCAAGTATGTCATCGAATATGCCCAGCTGATCGAGGATTCTCGCACCATTGGGAAGAATGGCGATTGATGCGCCCACTTGGGGTGCAATCTCATCACGCGCCTCGAGAACAACGTAGTCGATATTACTATGGTGAAGAGCGTGCGCCAGCGTCAGGCCAGCAACAGAGCCTCCAGCGATAATCACCCGCAGGCGGTCCTTCTTTCCCTGAGTTGAAGAGATAGTTCTAGAGGTTAACATGTTATCCTCGGCTATGCATCTAACGGAAGCCATGGTGGGGAAATTACTATATCAAATAACAAACTTGGACACAGATTCACTGCTTTGTTGGAAATGTGAACACTCTTTGGATTGAAAACAAAACGAAAATAGTATAGTCAAACCCAACTGAGACGATGCTCAATTAACCGATATTGAGAATATGGACTAAGTTACGAAATAATTCTTTGCGACACGGTTGATGGGTAGGTGTCGATGTATCCTCAGGAAAACTACAATTTTACGGCCTTCGTGTTTTGTGCAATTACTATAAGCTACAGATATATCCTATTAGGTGGATGGTAACTCTACATTACCCGAGTTTCCATTTATGGCAAGTGTACTCCCTTTTATGGAAAGCGTACTTTGTACTGGCGCGAAATGCAATAAACTGCTGTGACGTACAAGAAAGCTATCTCTCTAAGTACTAATCTTATACATCCACCCGAACGAAATACATACAAGTAGGATGCGACGATGCCGCCAGGGTGCTAACCGTCGGCTCTAAAATTGGAGCCATTTGTGGGGCGACATCAATGTGGCTTTTGTCAGACGGTGGAGTAGAAACACAATCCCTGAAAATTGGAGATGCTACCATGCTAGGATTTTGGCCGGCTATCGCTCTGACTGGTAGCTGTGTCGCCCCACTGCGAGTCGACCGTGACTGTACATTGTCTGTGCGCCGAGAAGGCCCTTCATTAGGAGCTTGTATCGAGTATACAAGCTTGTATCGTGTGAGATATTCTGAGAGTTGTGCATTTGGAAGCTGCCTTCCATTGGTGGAGAAAGGAATAGTGGACGACAGCCGCAAATAAGTGCTTCTGCTTCATACACAGACATTGCAGATGCCGGAGGCACGGAGGAGACCAAAAAGCAGCACTGTGGTTAGGAAATCCTGACGTAAGTGGCCTCCTAAACTCTTTTCAATATAAGTGTGCGTTCCCACCTATCCAGGGTCGACATTCTACTTTACACAGCTAAATTCAAACTCATCTGCTTTAACAAACGACTAATTAACTTTCATTGACTCTTATAGCGTCTCATCCTTATCATAAAACCCACCAAGATACAACAGAAATGGTTCAGCGCGTCCTGCTCACAGGCGCCAATGGCTTTATTGGCAGCCACATCCTCTCCGTTCTCCTCTCAAAGGGTTTCTCAGTACGAAGCGTTGTGCGCTCCCAGGCCAAACTTGATCAAATGCGCAAAGACTTTCCCGACTACAGCAATTCTCAACTCGACTTCGCTCTGGTGCCAAACATCACCGCTCCAGGGGCGTATGAAAAGGCAGTGATGTCCACTCCGCCATTTGACACCGTCATCCACGCTGCCTCGCCCTTCTTGTACCGCATTGTCAACGACAATAGCGAGTTCTTGGTCCCTGCGTTGAATGGGACAAAGGAGATCCTCAAGGCTGTGAAGGCACTTGCCCCAAGCGTCACGAGGGTAATCATCACTGGAAGCTGTGCAGCAGTTGTTGATCATTCAAGCGAGACTGCCAAACCCGCAACTGCAGAATCCAAGAAGTATACCGAAGACGACTGGAATCCTGATTCCTGGGAGACGGCAATGGCGGGCACCCTGAACGTGGCATATCGCGCGAGTAAGACGTTCGCTGAGAAAGCAGCATGGGACTTTCTGGAGACAGAGAAGCCTAACTTCGATCTCGTCGTACTGAACCCCCCCATGGTGTATGGCCCAATCAGACATTCTGTTCCAAGCCCAAAGGAACTTAATGAGAGCACAGCAAGGATATATACCCTCTTCATTGAAGCAAAGGCTGATGACGAGCTTCCACCAAATGGTATGCCATCTTATGTTGATGTAAGAGATCTAGCAGACGCGCACTGTCTCGCTGCTACAACTCCCGCTGCGTCAAACACCCGCATGATCATCTGCGGTGGGCGGGCTTCCAGTCAGGACATCAGCGACGCGTTGCGCGAGAATATCCCTGAGCTTCGGGCAAGGACGCCAAAGGGTCTTCCTGGTGGAAACCCATTGGCAAAGAACGCATATTCCTGCAGCAGTGAGAGGGCGCAGAAGGTATTGGGGTTGAAGTTTAGGAGCAGAGAGGAGACTTTTGTCGGTTTGGCTAGGCAGCTGTTGGATCTTGAGGCGAAGAGTGCGGCCTGAATAGTTATACCAACTTGAATTTAAATATAATTTATAGGTTACATACAGGGTATTAGATGACGTATCCTATGCCAACCGTAAGAAATAATACTGTTTTATAGGCATGAGCTCTAAAGTGGCCCCTATGCTACCTATAAGACGAAAAGGTTTGTGGCAGTTCTTAGGTTACCGCTCAGTTGCAATGCGTCACGGAGGCTCTAATAAAATAGTCAGCTCATAGCCCTGTGATGATTGCTGAGGAGCAGCGAATTGTTACATCGAGAACGTCAGGCAGGTAGTAAAAACCGATGCTATTCCCGCTATATCTATAGGACTGGGTTGCATTCGCATTCGTGAATCTGTTATAGGGATCCGTGAATGGGTGGCGACTGCCGTATGCGATGGCAGCTTCGTGGTCCAACTCCATCATCCACCGATCTCGCACGTCGGTGCTCAATCCGTCAACTTTCGCAACCGGATTACGGATGTCCCTAGACGCTTGCTCCCTTTTCTGTGGATTACTTCAGTGAAGCTGGCGAACTATTTCAGCTACACTGCATATTTGTTGTCAATTGGCCGCCTCTGCCGACTTCCCGATTGGGAAGTCATGTGATCGGCGAGTGATGCAGCTGCCATAAACTGGAGCCAATTGAAGAGCCTTCAGCACTAGGAACTGGAAAACTGGAATCAGAGTAGAGTAGCTAAACCAGTAGGCCAAAGGGGTTGGCAGCCCCAGAGTAATAGGGGCGATCACCCCGAAGAGCTGACGAGCCCCCCCGAAGCTCGGCGCTCAATAGGAGCTCGGGCAGGCCTATATAAGGCTCTACGTAGGCAGTAGGTAATTAGTTAGTTCAATTGAGTCTACTATACTATATAATGTGTTATATACTGTACGATTACAGCCCATTCCGCCTGTGCTCAAAGCGCACGGTCAATCGTCCAACAATATTAGCTAGGTAAAACAGTGGGATGGGGGATTATGATGTGACGGATTTAAGATTTGTAGAACGCAGCCAATGCCTTGATATCCCTGATGAGGAACGCAATTTTATTCCACGCATTCTTAACAAATGATAAGCATCACATCTGGAGCACTCAAGGAGACAACCCACAGTCAGATCTCGAAATTTGGATCTAATCTATTAAACAAGTAAGCGGCAACAATTCGGTTTAATTGAGTTGAGGAAGGTTCAGTGACATATCATGTCCACGAGAGAGTCGCGTTCTTGAGCAATGGGAACCAACTGTCATAGTAAGTCAGCTCGACCTTGATAAAGGCGTGGGTGATTTTGAGCGCACATCAGATAGGTTGCGGTCATCAAAATTTGATTCGATACACATCGCGGAAGCCCATGTCCGACCCCACACGCCCGCCAGAGTCAGCCAGACGTGGAAATGGGTTTCTTATAGGCAGAATTGTTGTTAATGAGTAAACCGTGAATACGGCACAAATTTACCTAATTTCCCATTCCCGGGCCTCATTCCTCTAACCATGTTCATCCAATCCTCTCGAACCTTTGCGGCTATATCTTGCTAACACTAGCTCATTGAATGCTAACGCCTCGGCCGTAGGAACCCTCGGATGACACACAAGGGACTTCTAAGTGCCGTTCTAAATCATGTATATCTCCACCTGTGTATGTGCCTGGCTTGCTTGGTGCTGACGTTGCTGACTCTCAAACTCAAATAGATCGACGATGCTGATCTCGGTGGAAAATCCGAGCTAGTCACAGAGTAGGAGTGCCAAGGCTCGCTATCCTGACCGGGGTGTGGTGATCGCTGGTGGCAGCCATGGCGCCACGGCTCTTATCACCAGGCAAAGAGTGAGAATTTAACCATTTCGCTCTCGAACGGCCCTTTTATCATATCCGCAAGCCGAGACTAGGTTGATTTATATTAATAAGGCAATCTGCATGCGTGGGAATCGTGAGTCTTACGCCGTATATGTTGTATCTCTGCTCAATACGGGAAACTAGGGAGCCTTGATGTATCTTCATAGAATCGCTATCTCACTGCATCATTGCCTACTACCTTGTAGTAACTTACAGCCTTGAATATGCCCTATCTAAAGCCACCTTACACCCTTCCCTCAGCTCTCGAACAATATCCCCAGCCGCCTTCACCTCCTTCAACAGGCCAACTCCAGAACCTGCCCAAATAGCCGCTCGCCGCTCGCCTCCAAAGCCCTTATCTAGACCAGTGACCGCGTCTGCATGCCTCCTCCTCAACTCCTCTATTCCCACGCCATCTAGATAATCATTATAACTTGAGTTCGCCAGAGCTCGGCCATCATAGCCAGCAGGCCAGATACTCTTACCTAGCAACTCGTCGAAGATAGTGGCACGAACTGTGCTTATGCCACCATCCGCAGCCTCAAGGACCGCCTGCTGATACTCCTTAGATGAAAGATCCACTTCTCGACTAGCCAGGAATACCGTTCCCAACAACACGCCCTCTGCGCCACATGCCAGCGCTGCGGCCACTCCCCTTCCCTCGCTGATGCCTCCGGCGCCAAGAATGGGAATGTTCGGGAACCCAGCCGTATCCAAGGCGTCACGTGTTTCGGGCACTAGGCTCACAAGCCCTGCACCAGGTGAGCCACCGTGCCCACCTGCATCCGCGGCTTGCAAGACCAAGACGTCGGGAGAACAGAGCTGAGCTACTTCTACCGCAGCAGCAACACCCGCGATCTGGATCCAGATACGTGATTCTGGGGACGCGGCATGCATTGCTTTTATCCAGAAGGCAAAGTCCTGCGGCTCTGGCGGGCACGAGAGCAGGATGGTGGCGGGACGGTGGTGCGCCACAACGGCTGCTGCATCCTCGACCTTGGCTGCGAAGATCAGGAACCCGACGCCAATGGGTAGGGTCGGTCCTGTGGTGCTGATATGCGAGCCGGCTAGGACGGATGTGGCCTCCTCAAGTTGCGTAGATAATATCCCCATATCGACCGCGGCGCCAATAAAACCTAGTCCTCCTGCTATTGTCACAGCTGTGGCGAGACGAGATCCGGCAAAGCCGGCCATTGGCGCATTCGCGATCAGAGGCCGAGAGGTCCAGGGGTAATGAGTGTAGATTGAAGATGGCATTCTGGACAATCGCGGCTGGCGAAAGGCCTATGAGGGCGAGGGACGATCAAAGATGGTTGAGCAGTGATATGCTTTGTCGACCTCTATAAAAAAATCCTAGTATGGAAGGTGCAAAACGACGATTCTGATTTTGTTTGCTCCCTAGATAAAGCAAATAAACGAGTAGCACCTGCGCTTATTAAGAGTGAGATATCGGCATAATTGGTAAGCGTCAGAAGTTGAAATGAAAATGTTTGTGAATAAGTTACATAAACTTGGCTGATACAATCGCCGTAGATAGCTGGAAAAAATATAGCTTAACTTAACCCAATTTGGTGATAATATTCGCCTCCGATCGCAGGATAATTTCATGGTGTACTATCTGGGATATATCTAGCCACGCTGTATCAAGCTTGGCAATACATGGAAACGGGGTCTTTTGATCTACCTTGCATAGTATTTTAAATTGTTTAGTCTGCATTTTATATTGGTCAAATGTTTCCACAAATTGTCCAGCTAGCAGGAGTAGCGCCTCGGCGACCTTTTATAAAGAACAATATTACCACACACGGTCTCTAATCCATTCCCTGATCCCGTCATCATTTTCCCCAATAGCCTCTCTGGCTTCTAAAAATGGCTGAAAAATTTCCCTCACAATAACCTCCGGATCCGACTTGGTGAGCCACCCCCCTCCTTCTTTTGGAATTATAGGATGAACCACCAAAGGTTGCCCCACCAAAATACTATACTCTCTAATTAAAACCTGCGAGAACTGCTGTGTCAAATTCTGCGATGCAGACTTTGTTGCTGATAGTGACGAATACGACGGAATTGGATTCTTATCTAATATGCCTCCCGTTACGAGAAATAGCGGGTACTCCCCTCCTGAGATATAGTCTTTGTTCGCGTGCTTGGAAAACCACTGACCAGCAATCAGGACCCCTATAGCGGCAATCTGAAAGTCGGCTGTGAAAGCTTCAGGAGTAAGACTCATAAGGTCGGATTCTGCGATGACAGCGGCATTATAGCAGAGGACATCGACTTTTCCTCCTAGTTGAGACGCCGCCCAATCGAGGGCTGACAGGAGTCTTGAGGGGCTTGATGCATCGGCCGTACGGGTGAGCACTTGAGGGGCCGAAGGATAGATGTTTGCGGTTTCGGTGGCATAGGTTTGGAGTTTGTGCTCGGTGCGAGATATGAGGACGATTCGCCAGTTTTGGCTCGCAAGGTATTGGCAGAGAGAGCGGGATATGAATGGGCCGGCCCCCACAATGATTATACTGCGGTTGGATTTGAGTGGCATGATAGTGTGTCAAAGGATGGACCGTGTAGATTTATAGATTTTGATGAGATTGTATCGAAGTTGGAAGTTGGATTGGATATAGTAGTCAGAAGATTTAAATATAGTGAGGATTAGGTAAGGATGGAGATAACTAACTTGGTGGCTAGCCGGGTGGGTAAACCAATATATAATTAATAAGATCTGCACCATAGGCGAAAGTGTCGGAAGCCACCGTAAATGCCGTAGCAGCCGGTCATATTATCACGGATGGGCATGCATATGCGCTAGCAGAATCCTTGCTTTGTTATGTGATAACGAGTTGCCACACTATAGGCTCCTGCGTAGAACTCGTTGAGGATGCACGCAAGCTGATGGGTCATTTTTCGCTCATGTGAGGTATCACTGCACAGCTCGTACGCATCCTTATATGTGTAAAGCTGCGCTTGGCAGGTTCTTTAGAATAGTGATATGGTAATTCCGGTATCAGCAAGAGTAGGGCCTAATTGATCAAAAGTGAATGGCATAATATATTAATCTACCTATTCTAACTACTATATATACTGTGAAAACTCTGCTCTGGCTTATTCTCAGAGAGGAAATCCTAAAGCTTTCCTGTCTAGTTGGGCGAGCTCTGGTCTTGGCGCCAGCAAGCTCTCAGTTGGAATTGAAGTTCTTCATGTCACGTGTTCGATATTATCATATAACTAGCACTCTCTCATATAAGTTAGCCCTATTTAGGCTTAGTTTACTCGCTGAGTGCAACATCCTGGCGCTGGCACAGGATTTTGCTCTCCAGACAATACATACTCGATTGAAGCCATCCTTGATATATCAGTTAGCTGACCGCTCGCTCCGGTGATTCGTACCCCGCCTGCCCAACTGAGAGCTCCCGATTTGGCAGCCCTCATTTCAGGCACAGAGTGAGAACTCCACAATATGCGAGCGCAACAAATAAGCCAGCGCAACACTTTGTATTAGGAGGGTATAATAGTCAATGTCAGTGTTTTGGTTGTTCACTCGCTTGTGAAATACGTTGGCTAGTAGCCTTAGTATGTATGTATAGCCTGTTCTCGGCAGTTCCTTTAGATCAAAACATGGCTCTAAACGATGACATACCACTTTTAATAACGCTCACGGGCGAAAATGAATATTAAGAGCTAATAGTACGAAAATGATACTCTAATATTTAGCTTATATACCCTGGTTCATGCAACCTTTTATTTTAGGAAGTTGTACAAATTTATAAGCTGACGCCACTTGCAGGCACTAGCGTTGTCTAGACGTTAAACCTGCATCTCTTAAGCACGTGCTTATAGGGGCCTATGCTTACAAGGGCCCATTTATCGTATTTAGCCCTAGGTAGAGTGTGCATTTTCTATAAAGGGAGTACACTTGCCATTTATGGAAACCTAGGTCTAGCGTTGAAATGTTTTAAACTATAGTAGCTTACTCTCAATAGGAGGTGGAGCATCTACCCCACATACACTAACTTTAAAGAGGCGTTGTACGTAGGGCCTAGAATCAATAAGGTACTAAAGATAGGCACATGATGTTAGAGCTAGTACTATACCACATTACGTCAGCCTTAACATGATCAAGTTACACCACCTTCAATGGGACTGCCGGAGCGCTGACATTATCACCTGTTAAAAGAGGAAGAATATAAAAAGAGCATTACGTGTTTGGTACTATCTTTACACCCGTCAGTTTTATCTACGATCGGTCTAAATCATGAAGGAAGTCATTGTTCACCCTCGGCCCACACTGCACACAGTGATCCATGATATACCGGTTCCTAGTCCTGGCCCCGATGAGGTCGTTATAGAAGTGATTGTCGCGGGAAGCAATGTTAAAGGTAGATCCCATCTTGTTTCTAGGTTACCATTTCATTAAGCGAGGTACAAAGCTGACGGCCACCAAAATCACAGACTGGCTCCACATTACAACACAAGGTCTATCTGTCAACAGCGGTGATGACATTGCCGGCACCATCTCCGCGCTCGGTGAAAATGTCGAAGCTACGGGCGAATTCAGCATTGGTGATCGCGTTGCTGCTTTCCATCCTATGCTAATGCCTGGAGGAGCGTACGCCGAGTATGCAACAGCTCCTGCTCATACTGTGTTTAAGCTCCCCAGAGGAACAAGTTTCGAAGGTTAGACAAGTTCTGCTGAGATAAAATTGGATGGTTTCTAATCCGATGCCATACATAGAGGCTGCCACTATCCCTCTCGTTACCTTGACAGCGGCTTTGTCGCTTTTCCGCCGTCAGGGCCTGCCTCCTCCATGGTCGCCACGGACATCGAGCATGGAACCAGTTCCTCTCATCATATATGGCGCCTCTTCTGCTCTAGGATCCTTTGCTATCAAACTCGCGAAAATAGCGAATATTCACCCTATTATCGCCATTTGCGGTGGCAGCAAGAATTATGTGACCACACTTCTGGACTCGGCTAAAGGAGACACTCTTGTGGATTACCGTGAAGGCATAGACTCCATGAAGGCTGCAGTCAGGGTAGCGCTAGGGCCACTGGATGCGAAACATGCTCTGGATGCTATTAGTGCGAATGCAACTTGGATTCCATTGTCTCAAATGCTGAGTTCGTCAGGAAGCCAGATGTCTGTCACCTCAGGTGGTAACAAATACGACGATGCTGAGATTCCCGCTGGGGTAGAGATCAAGTATACGTACGTTGGCACAGCACATTATGGTGCGTACAAAACGGGCATGCCGAAACAACCCATCGACAAAGAGAGCGTTGAGGGTGACGTCGAGTTTGCTTATCTCTTCGTACGATACCTGTCACGGTTGCTGGCTAAAGGCAGGTTTGAAGGCCATCCATATGAAGTCATTCCAGGAGGTTTGGACGGGGTGGCCAGAGGCCTGCAAAAGTTAAAGAATGGCGAAGCAAGAGGATTCAAGTATGTATATAGAATTAGCGAGACGAGTGGGTAAGGAGTGTATACCAGATGCCATGTTGGCACGTTGATGTAGTTCACGGGAAGCTATGAAGCAATATATCTCGATATAGGTGTGATAGAGCTCAAATATGCTACTGTTGACCCAGACAGTTGCCATGTGATCGAGGGAGATACTAGCTTTCTGAAGGAAGCTAGCACTAAGCCGATTAGAATCTCGTAGCTAGAGCTGTAGCTGACTACGGAGCCCATGATCACTCACAAGTTTAATACTCGAATCTGCCTCCCCTTGCCGGTCCGCGGACACTTCGTCCCCTCTCCATAGTTGGTCATGTCGGCTGAAATTCCCTGCGAGGATCAAATCTGCCCGTGTGCCGATCCGGTTTCGGTTTTCTAGGATAAGTTAACGTTCGCAATGGTGTAACGAATCACTATGGCGTAATGAACTAAGTTTCGCAACTTCAAATCAATTATCTACTATAATACAACTAAGCGTACCCAATTCTAAGTTAGACAAATCATCCATAAGTAGGTCCTCTTCAATTTCCTCGATAATACTGTCTTAATCAACCTGTTATGCTCAACCTTTACCCTTATTTTTCCATGTCTCATTTTCAATCTATAAAACTACTAACTAGATTTCTTATGTACTTATAATAATAACTCCTTTTAACGCTACTCTTTTACCTTGCTTGTTTATTCTACATATAGATAGAACACTTTACGTATCTTATAGCTCTTTAACTAAGAGTGTATTTTTCGTTCTTAAAGTCATAAGATATATTTGCATATTAGAGATTTAAGCACATTTTAAGCTTATAACATTAAATTAAGAGCTGCATTTAAGCTATATAACTCTATATTACTATATAACTCTATATTGCTTAGTAGAGAGCTAATAAGTAATAAGTGATAATTTAGTGTTTATAGAAGTAATGTATTTTACATCTAAGCTAGTTATATAAGTAAGCTAGTTATAAAAACACTAAAATGCATTAAGTCTACTATAATAATTAATAGTAACACTAACTTAAGCTAAATCCTCTAATTAAGAGGGTAGGATACTTCTAGCTATTTAATTAATTAAACAAGGCTAACGTATTTCACAAGCGAGTCGGACACCCAAGCGGGTCGGACACTGAATTTCTCATCTAAAATCAAGAATTTTGTAAGGTAATAACTCAACAACAACTTAATAGTATCTCCTAAAAATGTGTATTCAAATTTATCTATACATATAGATTCTGTTTTTCTAGTTTTAGAGCAATTAGACTTGTAGATATTGAGATATAATGACCTAGTATAAATTTCGGCGCTTATATTAGCGTTTACACTTAGTATCTCAAGAATTACTATATAGATTATTCCTAGATGATTATGTAGGAATCTAACCAAGTATTAAAGGCTAGAAATATAATTTTAATATATATTATTAAGCTGTTGTTGAGTTATTACCTTGCAAAATTCTTGATTTTGGGTGAGAAATTCAGTGTCCGACCCGCTTGGGTGTCCGACTCGCTTGTGAAATACGTTATATTAAAAGTATTTAAGCTAATTTAATATTTAGTTGTGCAGCTGTGATGCATTTCCGAGGATTCGGTTTAAGTATGGACCGGAATTGCGAAAGATTCTTTAGAGCATCCATAGCTTTTAAACTTCGCGAAGCCATTCTAACATTTTCTAGTGGGCTGCATTATGAAGAGTTATGTTGTTGCGATCTTCTAACCCTCCTAAACGTCACCTTCTCGTCCTCGTTAGCCGCCAAATATGTATTCTAGAGGAATGTACTAGGGAGTTCCCCTATTATGGCGCACTGGCTCAGCTCCTCTCATAGACGGTTTGAAATCACAGAGCACAGCTCGTCCACTTTCTTGAAGCAGAATATTCTAGAGCTTGATATCGAATGGATTTCGCTTCTGGCTCTAGCCGTTTCCGTTGCGAGGGGTCTAGCTCTACCATAGACTCTTATAGTAGACACATGACAGACATAGGGGCGGGCACAATACTATAGAATACGGGAGCGCCGGCTATTGATCTGCGGTTCCCTCTATGGTACGTGTTCCAACCCCTATTACCTACAGTGATGATGAGCCTACGCCCCTACTAGCCTGCCTCACCTCAAACTTAGCTTCATCGTCGATGGTGTCGTATTGTGGGAATGGCCGGTGACCGGTTATGATATGATATATAGTTGATCCAAGAGCGAAAAGATCTGTCTTGACGTCCGCAAACTCTTTGTCACAACGAGGCATAAACGACTCTGCATTCTCTGAAGCTCCCCCAGAAATGAGGATTTCCCCATCGGGGCTTAGCAGCCGACCCTGGAAGTCGCACAACTTAATGTGGAACTCAGCGTCCAGGAGGATATTCCGAGCATGGATGTCGCAGATTAGAACGTTTCTCTGGTGAGCATAGGCAACACCTTCAGCAGTTTCCTTCGCGATTCGGAGCTTCTCTCTGATCGGTACTTGCGTTTCTTGAAGATACGTTTCCAATGATCCGTTTGGCGCATATTCCAGAAGTAAGCCGCCGTCATGCTCTCCCTTAAATTCGATGATACGAGGGTGTTTTCAGAGCCGTTGAAGGATTCTGGATTCAGCGCACAGAGCAGCTGAAGTCCCTTTGAAGTGGGGGTACTTCAGGATTGTTGAGTCATTGACGAACCCGACGTAGTGGCTACTGCCAGTAGCAATGATATGCTTCACCAAGTCGGGGAAATAGGGCACGACATAGATATCCCCGTTCATTGTCTAGATAGGGATCGCGAGAAGGACGCCTCGTCTCTTAGGGGATCAAAAAGCGACGGGAATATTGCTATCTTAGCTGGAAGGAACGTCATGACTCGCATCAGAGTCACTAAATGTACATCTGGGAAAGGCCGTAGCCTGAGCAGGGGTTTGATGGTGTGAAGAAGCAAGAAGTGCATTCATTCGCCAATCAGCCTTGCGCCTACGCCGAGGTCCCGTTGGAATCTGCATCCCCTATTGCATTTTGAGCTTCCCCGAAGCATTCATATGTTACTGTGGGTTTGTCGATCTCTTCAATGGCTTTGTTTATGCGGTAGTATGGCCTTGTTTTGTTTTAAATGTTAATATCGATAGATGATTTATGCTGCATTATATTCATGTCCATGCGGTAAATTGACTCCATATTCAGCTGGTGTATGTGGAGTATTATAACATGGCTCCCTTAGTAATTATATTCAAGAGTACCAAAAATCACATCGCTGCCCATAACTTAACGAACCGCCACCCCAGTTACGAATCTGCACCAGCTCTTGAGCTTTCTCCCCTGACTACTCCACCTGCCTCTTCTACCTGTTGCACATAGGGTTTTCCCAAAGCGAGAGGTACGCCCGGTACAATCTCTTGTTCGAACACCGTGCAAGGGACATCGAGAATATGTGCAGGAGTATGCCATTTAAACGTAACTTCGCCAACGGTATCATTGACTCGCGCCTGAGTCGATCCAATATCAGACAACATTTCCACGAAAAATTCGTCGGAGAGGACAGTGATCTCCAGCCCCAACTTCTCAACGAAGTCTCGGGACACGGCGTTCACGCTAAAGTTAGCATATACCCTAGCCGTGATGGTTCGACTTAAAGATTTAGAATTTCTGCTCATTTCTTTAGAGACTTTGCCATTGACCTCTTCATAGTCGTCTGAAGCACCTGGGGCAATGCAATATTTCAGGTCCGCTCCTTCGGGAAAACGAGTGCTTGGTGGCTGTGTTGAGCGAACGTCTTTAGAGACTATAATGTTGCCAGCATTATGCGAATCGAACCTATTGGACTCAAGGGACTCTTGCATACCTCTTGAGGAAGAAGCTTCTGGAGGTCCATGGTCCGTTCGTCGCTCTTTGCCTTTTCCTTGGCTACCCGTAGCAATGATGATAGGCATCGTATCATTAGGAGGTGACGGCGGCTGAGGAGAGCCAGGGCGCTCTTTCTGGACCCGAGTCTTCATTCTTGGGCGCCTCGGGCTTGTAAACACATGAGCGGTTGGAGCCGGTTCTTTTTTGTACACCCAACAGCCTGGTTCATATAATCCAGTAGCTTCCCTTGCTTCATTCGCATCATCTAACTGCTTATCGGCAACGTTTATCACATTCTCCACTAGCAAGCCAAGGCGCTGTAGTGTCTTGTCTGTTGCACGCTGGGCATTTGAGAGTTTCTCAAACTTTGCAGCCATAACTTCTGCTCCTTCAATAAAGTTGGTAATATGTGCCATCGTTATGGCCCTTTAATTATGTCAGCTTATCGTTCCCATTAAGGCATACCAGACTCACAAGGTCTCCGGATCTGCCCCGTTCCGTATTTGTACCTCATAAGTCACCGTGGTCATCAAGAGAGCAAGCGATGTTTGCAAAGCACTCATTTCGAAAGTCAGGTCGCGGACTTCCGACTTTCTTTGATACCACTTGATTTTCGAAATCAGAGTGAGCTCGATTCCGGAAGGCTCCATTGCCAGTATGCGCGGACTAATATTTTCGACATCCTTCAATATCTCCCTTGCGGACTCTTCGGCACGCTTTAAAAACCGTTTCTTCTTGGCATTTGAGAGCGTGTCCAGACCAGTCTCGTTTGAATAATGTCGGAGGAGGCAAGCACACGCCTCATTCGAAGACCACGAAAACATAGACAGCTTGCGAGCAAACTTTCGGATATCCTTTCTAGCTGCTCTAACCCCACGTGCAAGACAGTACAACTCTTTGGAAAGCGCTCCAGTCGCATTGATCAGGCTCACCAGACTCCCAGCAGGGCCCAGGACGCTTACGACGCCCATTGCATCTGTATAATATTGTTAAACCGAGATTTGAAATTCCCAACCACCCGTGCAAATGGCAGCTACCCATCCCGCCTTTATCTCACCATAGGAGGCTCAGCAATCACGATTTAAGTAGTATACCGCGGATTGCAGCTGGTGTGGTGCATTGCATCTGACCAAGTGCATTCACCAATCAGCCTTGCACCTACACCGAGGTCCTGTTGGAATCTGCATCCCACTATTGCATGGCCGTTCTGCGGGCCAAGCACAGCCCGCGCGCATTCGTTCTCGCTATTGGGTATTAAAAAAACAATAAAGAGGGGAAGTGAAACTGAAGCAATAGGATAAGACGGCTGAGAGTAGTTGAGGACTGCCTAAGTCGGCACTTCCAACATGGAAGATGCAGCCTCGTGTGGCTCGGCCGGGATAATATACCACCAACCACATAGATGCATAGCCCCAGCCTTGCATACAAGATTCGAATTCTCTCTCTCCGAGGAGTAATTTATAATTCCCTATATCACAACCCCCCAACGCCAGCGCTAAGTATTCAAATCAGCCTTTCCCTCAGCCCTACTTCTTCGACGTCCCAAACCCGCCAAAGCCCATCATCGCCGCCATATCCTCGACATCATGCTCCCCCTCCACCCTAACATCCTCATCATACTCCGACTTGACCTTAATCTCCTTTTCCCTCTCCTCCCTCTTCTTCTGCGCTGCCTCCTGCCTCTTCTTCCTCCGTTCTTCCCTCACTTTCTCTTCCTCCTCCGCGCGCCCCTCGAGCCGTTCCCGGAGTGTTTTCACGTCTCCCTTGCGCTCTTCTTCCATCTTTGTCCAGATCCGCTCGATGCGCTTGTGTACATCCTCTGCGCTCGCGCGCTTGACTTCGCCTGTCTGTCCGATCGCGCGGAGATGCTGCATACTATTCTCATGCTACAAAATATCAGCATAACGCCTTCGTCGTAGTCCAAGATAGAGTACTCACCTCAACCCACTGCAAATTATCCTTAAAAGTCAAATCACAAGCCTCACACCAAAACCCCGCACCCCTCCCCCTCTTCCCCGTCGCCGCCCCCGCCGGCAACAGACTAATCTTTCCCACATTCCCCGAAACATCCAACCTGCTCTTTCTTGCCTCCGTGAGCGTCTCGTCGCCTGTGAGGGGGGCGTAGTATTTCTTCCCCGCGAGCTTGGCTTCGTAGCGGAGCTTGCCTTCTTCCTTTTCGGCTGCTTCGCGGACGCGTGCTTTCTCGGCGTACTCGGCGCGGTCGTATTTTTTGCGGAAGTCGGTGTCGGAGGCCGCGGTGCCGTAGGCGCCTTTGCGTTCTGTCATGGTGGTGGTTCGTGCGGGGTTGCCGCTTGTGAGGGAGGGATGAGTAGAGTGGTGCTGGCTCGGGGCGAGTGGAGGAGATGTTGGGATGTTGGGTCTGTTTATTGTAGAGATGGGAAGGTGGCGACGATGTCGAGGTATCCCCCGATAAGAGCTCCATCAAAAACCCTTATCGTGTTTGTCCTGTTTGCACCCCCAAAATTTCCTGCCCCTCCACCCCACCAACCAACCCCTCAAGGTCCTCCCCTCCCCTCAAGGTCCTCCCCTCCCCTCCCTCCCCTCCCCAAACACCTCGCACAGCAAAGATGCTCTACCTCATTGGCCTCGGCCTATCAGACGAGACGGATATCACCGTCAAGGGGCTTGAGATTGTGAGGAAGGCCGCGAGGGTGTATTTAGAGAATTATACGGCGATTTTGCTGGTGGAGACGAAAGTTTTGGTAAGTTTACCCCGTGCTGTGTGTGGGATATTGGGAGGTTTTGCTAATGGGATGTAGGAGGAATATTATGGACGTCCTGTTATAGTTGCCGACCGCGAGATGGTCGAGTCAGACAGCGACTCCATCCTCAAAGGCGCCGAGACGGAGGACGTAGCCTTCCTCGTTGTCGGGGATCCATATGGGTACTTCCCTCCCCTCCTTTTTCCACAACCAAAGCACCCCCGGGCTCCCCTACTTTCTCAATGCTAGCTACTAACCCCCCCCCCAGAGCAACAACACACACCGACCTAACCATCCGCGCCCGCGAGCTCTCCATCCCCACAACCTGCATCCCCAACGCGTCCATCATGTCCGCCATCGGCGCCGCCGGTCTGCAGCTCTACAACTACGGCCAAACCGTGTCCATGGTGTTCTTCACCGATTCCTGGAAACCCACCTCCTTCTACGATCGCGTTAAAGAGAACCGCACTATTGGGCTGCACACGCTGGTTTTGCTGGATATTAAGGTTAAGGAACAAAGTTTGGAGAATATGGCGAGGGGACGACTAATTTATGAACCGCCGAGGTATATGACGGTTGGACAGTGCGCGGAGCAGATGTTGGAGAGTGAGGAGATTAGAGGGGAAAATGCGTATGGGCCGGAGAGTTTGGCGGTGGGAGCGGCGAGGGTGGGGGCGAAGGGGGAGACGTTTGTTAGTGGCACGCTTAAGGAGTTGGCGGAGGGAGCGGATGAGGTGTTGGGGGGACCGTTGCATAGTTTGGTACTGTTGGGGAGGAGGACGCATGAGTTGGAGCATGTGTTTGTGAGGGAGTTTGCGCTGGATAAGGGGAGGTGGGATGAGGTTTGGAAGAGGGATTATGAGGGGAGAACTTAGGGGGATGAGTGGGTGGAGTGAAGCAGACAGATATAGTAGAGGAGAGAAGCTGATTTAGAGACCTTTGGAATACTCGGTTGACGCGGTGTGGTATTCGATATCCTATCCCTCTGCACATTTCGCCTCTCGTAACACATAAATAACCATTACCCCAAAACACCATTTTCAACTCCCCAAAACCAGACCAAACAGAACAGCCACCCGCACACTCACATACCCAAACACTCATCACTCATCCCCTCCTGGACTTACTAATCCTCCTAACCTCCCCCTCATCCTCCCTCTCCCTCCCCCCAAAAAACCTCCTAAACCCCCTCCTCTCCTTCCTCACCACAGCAGCCTCAATCACCTCCTCCCTCTCCTCCCTCTCCCCACCCCCCCTCCCAAACGACCTCTCCTCATCCCCACAAACGACCACAAACCAGCCCACCCGTTCCTTCGGCTCCAAATGCCCCGCTAATTTCCCAATCCATCCCTCCTCCCTATCTAACCTCCTCAACTCCCCTACTGAGGCGCCCTCCCTCCGACAGCCTTGACGAGATTCATAGGCTTCGATCTCGGCGCCGATGTCTGCCGAGAGGGAGATGCGGACTAGGGCGTCGCCGACGAAGGCGTAGGGCTCTGAGATGGCGGGGTTGAGGATATCGTGTTGCTCGAGCAGTTTGACGGGGGACCAGGCGTTGAAGGCGCGTTCGGCGGGTGAGAGAGGCGGGGGTGGTGAAGCGGCGGCAGCGCCGTTAGCGGAGCGGGGGAGGAGGAGCGGGCGTGGTGGTGAGAGACTTGTGTCTCGCGGGGCCGGGGCAGGGGCGGTTGTTGCGCGGATAGGTGAGTGGGAAGGCGGAGGGGTGAGTGTGGAAGTTGAGGACGACGAGAGGGAGGTGGAAGTTGGTTGCTGGCAGGGCGGGATGAAGTCGTGGAGGGAGTAGAGGGAGTTGAGGAGGGCGTGGGAGGAGGCCGGGGTGACGATCCAGTCGGGGCTTGCTTCTTCGACGTCGTAGGTCGCGACGTATTGGCGGATGGAGATGCGGTACCACCGGAAGCCGTGGATGAGGAAGGTGGGCATGGCGGGGGATCGGCGGGGTGGATGTGGTGGAGCTAGTGCGGGGGATTGAGGCTGAGGCGCGGGTTGTGGAGAAGGGCGAGGGCCGTGATTTGGTGCGGGAGGATGTCGTTAGTTGGAGAGACGTGCGCGGGGTGCTGCGGGGGAAGAGGCAGGCATGAGAGGTGCGAGAGGAAGATATGTGCGTTGGTTGCGGTCTGACGGGGCGGATTGGTGAAGTGGAAGTGATTCAGGGCAAGAATGAGGGGGTCGTCGACGAGACGGTGGGAATAGGCAGGCCTGGCTGGACAAAGCACCTGTCGTATCCGTGCTTCAGCGTGCCCAGCGAGGTCGATTGAGCTTATATGCCAGTTGAGATTGGACTGTTGGGGGAGATCCCTGTGAGATTTGTGTTGCTCGAGCTGCAGGGAGGTGGAATGTGAATTGACAAGATGTCTTGGATTGTATGCAGATCCCCTCAACGGCGCCGATCAGCTGGAGCTGGCAGCTGCAGTTCAGTTCTGGTTGGAGAGCTGTGCAGGGAGTGCAGCAAGAGTGGGGTTGGAATTATAAAGGAAGGGAATTGTTGGTGAGGAGCTCAGAATCGAGGGTTCTTTAGTAGTTATTCTCGCAAGAAGAAGAAAACTCTGGAGGTGAAATATCTGAGTTTTGTTTTATTTCGATAGAGCAGACAATAATTGTCCCTTGTAATTGTCGACTAATAGGGAACAATAGGGTACTAAGGGCGGTACCTAATATGGCAGTCGGTCGGGGGTTCTGCCGTGACGCTAAGAATTGACGCTAAGCTGTTAGTAGACAGCGGGCGGGATGGTGGAGGAAGAAGGGACGCAAGGGCCACTAAAGTTAAAAATAAGGGATGGTCACGTGATGATTATCGATAATGATGGTGCATCTTTTTGTATGGAAAAGTACGTATCGCTCCATTTCTGACAGCCTCGTCTAAGAAGGCTGTTGATTGGCTGATCAACAAACGATTACAACGATAAAGTGTACTCGAGTGTACGCAGTAAGTTGTATGAGAGACGATGTATTCTGCCATGCACTTTCACAAAATATCAAAATATATAACAAGTAATATATCATATATTGGGAATATTATCATCTTTTGCAAATATTGTGAGCCCTGACTACTCATATACCTGGCCATATAGCCAAATCCTGCCCATGCCCCATGTACTCGGCGTTATTTTCCTGCTTGCTGTGCTGGCCTCGCCTAAAATCAGCTGCCTCGTTCTGACAGAAGCGTGCTTCTGGTAAACACATCCCCTCCGCCTCGCTATCCGAATAACTGCACCATTCCGCTATCTTGTTGCACCCCGCCCAACATCTCGTGGCTGTGTATCAGATACTGTATTTGTTCCTTGTGGCATCACCAGCTCATCTTTCTCTCGCTGTGCCCTTGGTCAGAAAGTTGCGTTTCCACTTTCCCGCATAGCCTACAAACCCACTCTCTATCCTTGGCCTCGTTGCCGCGGCACCCACGACTTTTGTCAAACACGCAAGCCAGACTTACGTTGGCTTTTCGACACAGCTTTCAGTCACATTTTATTCTCTGCCCTTATCCTGCGTGCATAGCTCTCATCTGCATATTTGAGACGAGATAGAACCCTTATTCACTACGAGTGCGACAGTTACGAAGCACAGTCGAGCTATATGCCAAGATCTGCCACCCAAGACGACTGACCCAGGCCTAATCGTCCTTGTGTCCAGGCACAATGGTCAAGGCCGACTTGACACGCGATTACTATGGTGATCTGGAGATTGCGCCCAATGCTACGGAGATCGAGATCAAGAAGCAGTTTAGATCTCTGGGTTAGTACCTCTTTCAGCTTGCGCGGCTCGCCGTTTCTAACCTTCTTCACCTCACAGCTTTGAAATACCACCCCGACCGCAACCCAGGACGCGAGCTCGAAGTGAACGCGAAATTCCAAACGATCCAGTCCGCACACGAAGTCCTCACCGATCCAGAACAGCGAGCAAAATACGATGTAGGACGGTCCAGAGGCGGCGGCGCTGGAGGTGGCTTTGCGTCTCAGGCCCGCCCCGCATCTGGGTTTGCACGAGGCAACCCTTGGGCAAACGTTGCTACCGACTTTCCTCCTCCCCCAAGACCGTCGCGATCACGAGCTCAGCCACCCCCGCCATCAGCAGGTGCTCAGCGATATGCGAACAATTTTAAGCCTGGCTCAGGAGCATATACGTCGGCTTCATCTGGGGCAAAGCCAGCGGAGGACGATGGGGCTGAGGCACGACGAAAGACATACGAGGCCTGGTCAAAAATGCGAGGTGGAAAGGCGCCTCCTCCATATAACCCCCATGGATATCAGCCAACACCAGGTACGGATGAGAGGAGAAGCTCCCGACAGCAAGTTCCAAAACCGCAGCCACCTCCGATTCCAAAGAGAAACGGCTACGCGCCTGGCGCCGCTGGTGGAGATGAACCCGCTGCTGCGAATACCTCGGCATATTATACACAGCGCGCAGGCAGGGCACCAACTGCGAAACAGCAGCCACCACCTCAGAAGACCCCGCCAAGAAATGCACCTGTGGACCCTTTGAGACAGTTCAGAGAGAAGACAGGAACACCGTTGGAGCCGCGATTAAGCACTCCATATGCGAGCCATGGAGGCGAAAAGACAGACCCATTCGAGTCGGTCAATTTCGGCAGATCCAACAGCACTAGAACTCCGTCTGGAAGAGCCGGCGGCAGCAGGGGCTCTGGCTCGTCAGGGACTCGTGAGAGACACCGCAGTGCAAGCCCAAGTCGACCCAGTCGTACTCCTCGCCTGTCACCCGAGCTCAATGCTGGCAGCAGAGTTGGGTCAGACACCAATCTCAACACTTCTCCAAAGCGGACCTTTTCCCGAGCAACCAGAGCTAGCAATATGAGCGAGCCACGCACCACTGAAGCTATTGTGGACTACTCGAGCTCAAGCTCAGACGAATCGGAGGACGTCCAACAGAGAGTGTACGCGAAGAGCAGATCTCGGAGAACACAAGCCCAAGCTACACCAACCGGAACTGCTCGTAAGTTGATCCCCTTGCAATGCCTTCGTACGACCAGTCTAACGTTTCGCAGAAGCATCGCATGATCAGCAGAGCCATGGCGCACAGAACGCGGGAAGACCAAACGCTGACCCAAAAATGTACAGAGACCCTAAGCTCCCATTTCCACGCCCACAATATCTCCGCTCCGCAAGACGTTCTCCAAGTGTGGTTGTCAATGAAGCTAGACGGGTTGTTTCTAGCCCTTTTGCACGTGCTTCTAGTGAGGCTGGCAAGAAGTGGCCCAATCTTTTCCCGTCGCACTCGGATCTCTCGCCACCAAATACTCCTAGTGGAGCCCTGTTCAACGGATCTTCCTGTGGCATGAATGCGTTCGAAGCCGAGCAGTTCAATGTCCTTGATCGTCTTGTCAAGAAGCATGATGACCCGTCTACTCTTGTCACCGGGAAGGTGGCCAGCGCCACGACGCCTGTCGGCCGTGCGAGACATGGCAGCTTGCCAAACACCACAACTACCTACCCTATTCTGGACGTACCAGTGGAAAAGCCAACCTTCGGAGTTACCTCAAGAATCCCACCATTGAACGCACAGAGCGGCCCAAGTGGCGCCTCATTCTACTTTGCCGGGTTCTCCATCATCCGAAATCCCACTATCTTCGGCAGTATCGAAGGCCCAGACCTCACCTTCCACAGCTGGGAGGATTTCTCTAAATGTATGAAAGATAACAAGACCCTTGATGCTGACTTTACTGGCGCCTTTAGCTTTACCTTCCAGGTCGATGGCGAGACGTACACGGCGCACTCGGTGCCACGACAGTTCCCTACTACTAGCAGCACAGAGAACATCAGCACGACTTTCACGCCTACGGACTGGCACGGAAAATTCGAAGCTGGTGAAGACTATTTCGGAAAGGAAGCCGCTGCTCAACCGGCCCGCGGTAACTCTACCAGTCGCGCTAGGAACCGATCTCCTCCAAAGCCGCGAGTTCCACCGGTCAGCACCAAGTCGCCATATCCGAATATCGACCCCGAGATTCTTCAGCAGTCGAGCGGTACAGAAGGAGCTACATCGTCTCCAGGCGGCACGAAATTCTCTGCCGAAGAATGGGCCCAAACGTTCAAACCTGGCATTTTCGCTCCACCGCCCCATCCTTCCCCAGGATCTTTGAGCAGGTCTCGCACGAACTCAAGCAGACGCGCCAAGGCTGCCTCGTCGTCGAGCAAGGGGCCGCCTGTGACTAAGACTACCGGCACGGCTGCTATGGTTGATAGCGGCGATGATGAGCCGCAGTTAATGGGATCGAGACCCGTGCCAGGCGCGGAAACCGGGGCGAGTACCTTCGCCCAGCCACCGCTTGTGTCAAGCCCGACGGCAATGGATATTGACCCCCCTCAACCGACGAATGACGCGCGAAACGTCTATGTCGAGCCCACGCGCGCGGAATGGCGTCCTAGCGACACAACCAGCACCTCCTTTGGCGCTCCCCCCTCTTCCGCCCCCGGCCCTGCCCTCCCCCCCAAAGAAGCCCTAAACACCTCCGGCCTAGCCGCCAACCTCGACGATCTCAAGAAGACGGAACCTCTCTACACCCCCCCCGCTGGCCTGTCATCTTTCGCTGACCTGACGTCTAATCTCCCCTTCGCTTCAAAGGCAGCGACGACGGCGCCGGTTGGGAAGGGGGTGGGGTTTAAACCCGCTAACCTTGATCTCCCGCAACCCCCCCGCGGCCCCTCCCCTCCCGCCATAGCACCGGATGCGCCGCGCCCGACGCAGGCGGCGTGGGATACCTACATGGCGTCTATGCACGCATACATGGCCGCATGGGACGCCTTCAACACCCAAATGGTCTGCCATTTTGTGGCGAGGAAGAACGAGGTTGATACCTTCCCCAAGGGCTGGCTGGGGACGATTGGCGGGAAGGTTGTGAGCAGGTATGTGGAGGGGGTGAGGGAGGATGAGAAGGTGAGGATGTGGTGGGATACGGCGTGTGGGAGGCATGGGGCTGTGATGGAGGATTTTGTGTGGGCGAGGGAGGTGTTTCAGAGTGGGGTGCAGGCGGTGGGGGGGAGGGGGGAGAAGGTGGGGGGGAGGCTTTATGGGGAGGTTTAGTAGGCGGGGGGAGAGAGGATATAAGGTATTTGAGTGAGTGGCGCCGACTGGGTTGAGCGGGTGGTTGGTTTTGTTATTTATGCATGGCGCTGGAGATGGGGGTTTGGCGTGAGGCGCGGAGTTGGGCCGGTATACATACAGATGGGATGACTTATGCGTTTCTGTCTGGTGGGTGGATGGATGGTTGTATTGTATGTTATGCGTTCTACTCATTTACAGCGAGGTATAGTGAAGCGGAACTAGACTTCGAATTCTAACACTTCTATCATCACTTCTATCACTTCTATTACTCCTTTCACTTCTATGGTACAGTATCTACAGTATACAGTATTATAATCTCACAGCCTCTTCTATCCAACCCTCTTTATCAACGCCCTTTTCCTATAACTTCACAACCTCCCACCCCTTTACCCCCAGCCCTAACCCCTTCACCACCCCCCCAAGCGGTCCCTGCTTCTCCTCTCCCCCCTCCCACACACGCGGCCCAACATAATGCTTCACGAATCCATCCGGTCCAGCGACCATGATTAATTTCCTGCCCTCCTTCTCCTCCTTCCCTGCCGATTTCACAGCATCAAGTATGCCCCGGCGATCAATAAATGAGCCTTCTGCGTCGATGAAATATTTCACCTCCACGCGGCCGGGGTATCGCGCTTCTAAACCCCTTAGTTCTTCTACAAGGGGGCTGGGTGGTTCGGTTGACGTGGGGGTGGTGTCCCATATGCGCCACCATGATGGCGCGGGTAGAGGTGCGCCGGAGCATTCGGAGCGTTGGCGGTTTGCCCAGAGTATCTTCACCGTCGTATTTGTAGATTTATCCCCCTCCCCCGAAACTCCATCACCAAGTACAGCGCGCACAGCTTGTAACGCGGGAGCAATCCCGGTACCACCAGCGAGGAAGACGACGTCCGAGACGTCGGGGGGGATGGCGTATTCGACTACCGGACCGCGGATGTCGATTGTAGAACCCACGGAGAGGCGGGAGAGGTAGGTTGAGACTTCGCCGCCGTGTTCGCGGCGGATGAGGAAGCGGAGGGCGCCGGGGGTGGTGGGGGTGGTGGACAGCGGGGGGAGAGGGGTGTAAGAGCGGGCGACTTGGAGTTGGGGTTGGCGGAAGGTGAGGGACCAGATTGTTGGCCAGAGGGGGGCGAAGGGGTCGGCTGATTGTGTGTCTGAAGTCGGGGAGGTTTGTGAGGGCGGGGGAGAGAGAGTGAAGATCGTAGAGGTGGGTGAGATGGGCGTTTTGGACGTGATGGTGTAGGGTGTGAATATGCGTTCGTGTAGCCCCGAACTAGGCGGCGAAGAGGAGGAGGAGAGCTGGTATGTCGTTGCTCCTGCTGCGGCGAGGGCGAGGGTTGTGAGGAAGAGTGTAGAGGTTGATTTCGAGGATTTTGGTGGTGTTGGCTGGGTGGAGGAGGTAGATTCGCTGCTGGGTTCTGCAGCGCGAGTTGTCGTCGAAAAGCAGCATCTGAAGATGACGGCGACCGGCGTCGTATTATGCGTATATCCTACATCTCCCCTACATACCCGCCGCGTCGAGCGCGCAAGTCGTGCACAGCGATGCATTGAAGCTTTTTCGTCTTGGTGGAGGAGGGGGAGGTTGAATTTAAAATCGGCGCGCAAGGCTGGCGGGTGACGTGACTTGACAGACGTACGGGGGTAAGGCGCCGGCGCGGGAAATTCCCAATGCGCGACCCTCGGACCCTGCATGGCTCAAAGGGGAGGGATCAACCCTCCACTGCCGTTTGACTGTCGTCTGGTGCCCGCCCCCTGGTTGCCCCCCGCTGTGATTTCTGTTTTATTTACATAGGAAGAACAGTTTTGTTTTTTTCGTTCAAAGAGGATTTTTGTCTGGGATTTGGACTGCTTGTTTGGTTGTATATACGGCTGGGCGATTTGTTTACGTCTGTCTGGGTAAATTTGAAGAGAGCGCGTGGGCGATTGTGTTTAGGGGACAGGGACAGGGACGAACGAGCAGGGTCTGGCACCAAACGGGCGACAGGAACTCATTTTCCACGACACAAACGCCCTCGAAACAAGGAGAAAAGAATCGATTTGTACAATATATCCCGACATACGAAACAATACTACTTTCTCGAATTTATCATATACTGGCTGAGAAAAGGCACACATGACGCGCACATAATTCGCAGCGTCATTCTCGGCCCACCGCTGCGTCAAGGAACCGTCATTATGGATGAGCTAGGGGAGCTTCCTAGCGATGTCGCGATGAAGAAGAAGGAGACGGTGCTGCGTGATTCTATGGTCACGGTGCGATTGTCTGAGCCTGAGCCTGCATTGGGAGGGTCTGATGTTTCTGGGACTGCTTCTGGAACTGCTGCTGTGTCTCCTGAGATAGGAGGGAAAAACGAGGTTGACGACGAGTCTGGCGATAAGGACGAGGACAAGGATAGCGAGGACGAAGACGACGAAGAAGAAGAGGAGGAAGAGGACAAGACAAAAACAACTGCAACCGAGCAAATTGCGAGGGGAATCATCCCTGAGGAGGAGGATTCAGATGATACCGATGCGGATACTGTCTACGAGACTGAGATTGCGAGGATGGAAGTCCCCGGCGCCAAGGACAAGGAGGCCAGGAGGAGGAGTGATAAAAGCGACAGCGAGACCGAGAGCGTGAACTGGGAGGTGCTTGAGCGGACAGAGGAGCAAGAGCCAAGGGATCAGGATACTGAAGATGTAAGCCCCCTTACCACCCATTGCCTGTGAATCACCTTCTTGTTCCCATCCTAACTGAATCATAGTCCACAGCCCTCCTCCTCGCCCGCCTCGAGCAAGAAAACAACCTCCTAGCTACAAACCCGAAATCTGGTCTCGCGCGAGCACAAGCAGAACAACGCATGCAGCGACGCCCACCGTCTATGCAGCAGCTAAAACAGATGGTTAATGCGCCCTCGCCTCCAGCGCTGCGGTATTCCTTACTTCCCGCACCCGCGATGACGGACCTCGAGTTCTACGCCGCGGTGGTGCAGGATTACAAGCGCACTGCGCAGCGACTGCCGACGCTGCTGTCCAAGAAGATCCGTGCGGGTATCCCGCCGCCGCTGAGGGGCGTGGTGTGGCAGAGCATGTCTGGTGCAAGGGACCTGGCGCTCGAGGAGGAATATGAGCGTCTATGCGGGGGCTCGAGTCCGTATGAGGGGATCATTGGGAAGGATCTCGGGCGCAGCTTTCCGGGGGTGGAGATGTTTCGCGATCCGAATGGGGAGGGACAGAGGATGTTGGGGAAGGTACTGAGGTGCTTTAGTTTGTACGATCCTAAGATTGGGTATTGTCAGGGTCTGGGGTTCCTCGTGGGGCCGCTGTTGATGCATATGGGCGATACCCAGGCGTTTTGTATATTAGTGCGGTAAGCACCCCCTATCCCACTTACTACGAAGACACAGGCTCATTCGTTGCTAGATTGATGGAGAACTACGACCTCCGAAGCTGCTACCTCCCCGACCTCTCCGGTCTGCACGTGCGCATCTTCCAGTTCGGCGAACTGCTCAAACGCCACCTCCCCGCCCTCGCTGCGCACCTCGATCACCTCCAAATCGAACCCGCATATGTCTCGCAATGGTTCCTCTCCTTTTTCGCCGTCACCTGTCCCCTACCGATGCTCTTTCGCATCTACGATGTGATTTTCGCCGAGGGTGCCTCGGAGACCATGATGCGTGTCGCGCTCGCCGTGATGCGCAAGAACGAGGAGCGTATCACTGCTTGCGCCGAGTTTGAGGACGTCATGCAGTTGCTTCTGTCCCGCGGACTCTGGGATTGCTATCGCATGGACGCCGATGCCTTCGTTAACGACTTTGTCAGCTTGACTGGCACGATCACAAATGACCTCCTACAGTCGCTCGAGAGGCGATACAGCGAGAGCCAGGAGAGCGGCAAGGCACCCGCCCACTCCGCTGATATCGTATCAGCGGGTTCCCGCTTCCTGGGGCGCATGTGGAACTCCTCGTCGAAGAGCATGACACTCAACCCTGCGACACTGGCGCCGTACCGGCGCGCAGGCAGCTTCTTGAGGAAATCGACGAGCAAGCAGAGTATGTCTACTCTTGGGTCAGGGGAGGGGAGCACAGATAGCTCGACGACCGAAGCGACGTCGCGGGGATCGTCGCAGTCGGACGGCGCGTCGGTGCGGGTGCCGTCTACGGTTCTCTCGGCGGCGGTGGGGAGCCAGAAGGCGCTAGCGAGTAGTAACAAGAGTTTAAATGGGCAGATTGAGGATTTACTCCTCGCGCTGAGCGAAATGCAGAGGGAACAGGCTATGCTGGCTACGAGGCTGCAGAGGGAGAGGGAGGAAAGGGAGGAGGACCGCGTGGCGGTTAGGCTGCTGCTTGACGTGTTGAAGAAGAATGGTATGGAGGCTGAGGGGGAGGAGACGGAGGGGGAGTCCCCTGAGGATACGACGACCGAGGACGGTGGGAAGGAGAGTGAAGAGGGCACGGAGGGGTCGAAGCATGATTCCCCGATGGAACACACTGAGGCTTCGTCTTCTGTTGGTGCGACGTCTAGTACGACTGAATTATCACCCACCGAAACCGAAGAATCCACATCAACACAACCTTCTTCAACTCTTCCTCCACCCGAATCATCCCCCCAAGACTCAGACGAGCAATCACCCGGCGGAACACCCGCGCACATTTCCCTCGCCATCGCCGCCGCCTCGGGCCCCGCACCCTCAACGCCCAGTATCCCTGCCCTCCTCGCAACTCTCTCACACCGCTTCTCCACCCCCTCGAACCGCGACTCCGCGGTCCTCCAATCCAAAGCCCAACTCCGTGCTGACCTCGCCCACGCCAAGGGACAGTTGGGGATGGAAGTCTCCAAGAACCAGGACCTGGCTCGTCGATTACTCGATTGCGAGCGTGAGGTTAGCAAGTTAGGCGAGCAAGTGCGAGAAGGGCACGCACATGTCCGCCAAGGCCAAGCTGAGCGAGGTCGGTTGGAGAAAGTAGTCGCAGAACTCCGCTCTCGGCAGCCGAGCGCCAGCTCCAACAACAACGACAATGACGACGGGGAAAGAAGCGACTGGAGCCGTCGCGCCTCAGCACACAGCTCCAACGGTCTCCGCGAACTCAAACTCGGCCGGCAAAAATCAACACGCACTCCCGCTTCCGGGCCCGGCGGGTTCGCGAAGAGGTCAAGTAGTTTGTATACCTCCATGCTTGCGGGGGAGGAGGAGGAGGTTCCGCCCGTGCCGTTGAGTCCGGGGGCGGGGAGTTTGCATGCGCCTAGTTTGGCGCCGAGTTTGAGTGGCCAGAGCGGAGGGGGAGGGGCGGATAACGATGCGTTGATTTTGGAGCTTGTGCAGGCGAAGACGGCGGAGGCGACGGCGAGGCAGGAGGCGGAGGAGGCGAGGGGGAAACTGGAGGCGTTGAGGAGGATGATTAGTGGGAATGGTAATGGTGGTGGTGGGAATGGAGGGGGAGGGTCGCCGTTGGAGAGGCAGGTTAGTCAGGGAGCGAGGAGTGGGGGTGGGACGCCGCCTGCTGCGACGGCGGCGGCGACGGGAGGGGGGTTTTGGGGGTGGGGGAAGAGGAGTGCGAGTTTGGCGGGGTTGCCGGGGGAGAAGTAGCGTTGTGCTAGATAGATGAGAAGGGGGGTGAAGGGGGAAGCTAGGGGAAGGGGAGAATGTGAGGTTGGTGTAGATGGGGATAGGGATAGGATATATATACCCAGACTGAACATAGGATGTGGAGTATTGGGCCCCACGAGTAGATAGAATGGATTTAAGGTTATATTGTATGACACTATCTGTCTGGGTCCGTGTGACTATGTCTATATCGGCCTCTCTATCTTCCTTCCCACGAGAGCCTCCATCGTTTACCACACGTATAATTCCAGTCTCCCTCTCTATACCCAAGTTCTCCTGACGCCCATCTCCCAACATCAAAACACGTGATCCCCCTTAAATACCCCGCCAAAACCCCCACCAAAAACCTGCACATCTGGTCCAATCCCCCCACCGTAAAAATAAATCCTACAGCGGCTTACAATACTGTACGACTAATCTGTGTGACTCCCCTCCCCCACCACGACCACCATATAACCATTCCAATCCCTCCCCTTCCTCCCTTCTTCCTCCTCCCCCATCACCAACTTCACACATCCAATCCGCCCACCATGACTTCCTCATCCTCGCCTTTCAATCTGCAGACCTGTGCGCGCCCTAATATCCTCGCTCTCCAACCATACCGCTGCGCGCGCGAGTAAGCCCCTCCTCCCCTCCATCCCCCCCAGGCCCAGACAACCCATGCTGACCTCGAACCCCTCTCACAGCGACTACAAAGACGACGGCACAAACATCCTCCTCGACGCCAACGAAAACGCCTTCGGTCCCTCCCTCCCCCCCTCCCTCACATCCGCCGACCTCTCCCTCAAGACTCTAAACCGATATCCCGACCCCCACCAGGGCCCGCTGAAAACGCTGCTCTGCGATCTCCGCAATGCCTCCCCGCCTCCGAACCAAATACCTACGCCCGCGCCGTTGACGGCAGAGAACCTTTTTCTGGGTGTTGGGAGCGATGAGGCGATCGATGCACTTTTGAGGAGCTTTTGCGTGCCGGGTAGGGATAAGATTTTGGTTTGTCCGCCGACGTATGGGATGTACACCGTCTCTGCACACACCAACGACGTCTCTCTCGTTTCCGTCCCGCTTCTCCCAGCGCCGACTTTCGGGCCCGACGTCCCTGCCCTCTCCGCCGCCCTAGAGGCAGATAAGACGATTAAGATCCTCTACCTCTGCTCACCCGGGAACCCGACTGGGTCGCTCATCCCGCCGAAGGATATTGTGGAGTTGCTGAGTCACAAGACGTATAATGGGATTATAGTGGTAGACGAAGCGTATATTGATTTCGCGCCCGCGTCTTCGTCGGCTGCGCCGCTGGTGACTGCGTATCCCAACCTGGTGGTGCTGCAGACGCTGTCAAAGGCTTTTGGGTTGGCGGGTGTGAGACTGGGTGCGGCGTTTGCGGCGAAGGAGGTAGCGGGGTTGATGAATGCGTTGAAGGCGCCTTATAATATCAGCACCCCCACCAGCATCCTCGCTTCCGCCGCGCTGTCGAAGGAGGGGGTGGCGGAGATGGAAGCCTCGCGCTCGAAAATCGTTGAGCAGCGCGAACGTCTTGTTGCTGCTTTACCGTCCATTAAGGGTGTTGGAAGGTTGAGAGGAGGAGAGGCAGCGAATTTCCTGCTGTTTGAGATATTGAATCAGAAGGGGGAGCCGGATAATACTGTCGCGAAGGGGGTTTATGAACGTCTTGCTGCGGGGAGGGGGGTGGTTGTTAGGTTTAGAGGGACGGAGTTTGGGTGTCTTGGGTGTCTGAGGGTTACGGTTGGGACGGAGGAGGAGGTGACGAGGTTTTTGGGGGAGGTGGGGAAGGTTGTTGAGGAGGTTTGGGGGGAGGTTGGTGCGTAATTATAGAATTTGAGTGGGAAAAGATGGATTTAGGACATAGGAGGAGAGAGGGAGGGAGCTGGGGTTGGAGAAGGAAAAAGAGGGGGGGTAGAATCTAGATGTCAGCTTCTAAGACGAATAAAAAATGATAATTACAGTACTTCGATAGTCACTCGTGCACACCTCACTCAAAACACATCAAAGCCAAGGCAAAGAATTAAAATAAAAAGACGACTCCATTCCCTATCCCCCCTTCCAATCTAGAAACCCCCAATCCCCATCCCCTTCCTTCCCACTGTACCCAGCTACACTAGCCACCTAAGAGCAGCAACAAATGAAAGCAACCAGCAACCAGCACGCACACACCGAGCAGAGAGAATTAAGCCCGTCCGTCGGTCCGTCCACTCATTGGAAAGAATAACTCAACCCCATCCATCCATCCTCCTCCGTCCGATTTTTCGTCGTGTGGGAAAAGAAACGTTAAAAAAGGTCGTCAAAGCAGCGCGGACAAAAGATATAAGCATACACCCTTCTCTTCTTACAACACCCCCCCATCACCACTCACCCTCACAATCATCCACACAAACTCTCAACTCTAAGAAAGAAGCTCCTCCTCCCTCAACCCCGCCGCCAAACCCCCAACACTCGGCACGCCCTCCCTCGCAAGGCCGTCCTCACCAACATCAACCACCTTCTTCGGCGCAGACGGGAAATCATCAAAGCGCAGATCCGCCGCCGCGTCCGCAGCTGAGGATGCGAGACCCTCAGTCTTCATCGCCGCGCCGGGTGGGGGGATGGTGTAAGTTGGTAGGGTGGTGGTGGGGATGGTGGTGGTGGTGTCGACTGGGATAGAAGAGGTGGTGGTGGAGGGGGCGAAAGAGTCAGTCTCCGGGACCTTGGGGAAGGAGTCGGCGGCTGGGATGGCGGACTTGGACTTGGACTTCTTGGTGGAAGTAGCAGCCGGGGAGAAAGAGGAGGTAGATGGGACCTTAGAGGCGGTGACACCAGTTGTGACGGACGGCTCGACGGACTTCCTGTCTGCTGGGGAGGAGCTGCGCGCGCGTCCGATAATCTCCTGTGCCTTGGCTGAGTAGTCGCCGACGTACATCTTGGTGGTGGCAGCGGCGTTGCTAGCGTGCTGGCTGGCCATCTGACGAACCTGGGTGGTCTGGGCGTTGACAATCTGGGAGAGCTGCTCGATTTGTCCGTCGATGAGGGCCTTGTTGGTGGTGTACACCAGGGGGCCGAGGAAGAGGACTGAGGTGCCGATGAGAGCGAGGCCCCAGAGGGGGACGATCTTAACGAGGTGGTAGGAGATGAATGCGGACAAAAGAGCGGCGCCGGAGGCGAGGACGTTCTCTGCGAACAAGAGGCGCTGCGACTCGATAACGAAGAAGTTGATCAGCTCGTCCAGGTCACCAGTCATCGAATCCAACGTAGACTTGGGAACGGTATAATACTTCCTCGGCCTAATCTGTGCCGTGAATCCCGCATTGAACAGCGCGCGCCCCGCCACCTCCGCAGCGACGGTAACACCGAGCGCCATCCACGTCAACTTCAGTCCATAGCGGAGGAGATCCAAGTAGCGCGCTGCGAAGATGAAAACCACAGTCGCGGCGTAGGCGAGGGCCGACGCGCGGGGGTTCTCCCAGCTGAAGAGAGAGCCGAAGAAGGAGTGGTAGTGCGTGAGGGGTTGGCCGGTGGCGGTGCGCGTAGAGGGCGTCTGGCGCGAGGCGGAGAGGGCGGACAGCTCGGCGGAGGTCTTGGTTGCTTCGGCTTTGACGTTTTCGGCGACGGGACCTGAGGGGGGGGAAAGGTTAGCTATGACCTCATTGTTTTGTTTTTTTTGTAGGTGGGAGGGAAGGAGGGAGGTGTGTTACCCTCAGTGAAAGTTTCCTTGACGTTCTTCTTGGAGGAACGCTTTGTGGTGGTGTTGTAGGCGTCGGCACCTAGAGGGGAGATATCAGTAGCTGTTGTTGTGGTGGTGGTGGTGTTGGGAGCTAGGGAGGTGGAAGGGGTAATCTGTGACGTTATCAGTAACATGAAGCTTTTGAGGGAGATGGGGAAGCTCCGTACCTCACCGTTGGTGAAGGTGTTGCCGGCGTTTGAGCCTGTGGTCAAGCCCTCAGTAGAGCCGATGACTGGGTAGGGAGCAGAAGACATGTTGAAGGTCGTGGGGTGGATTTTGTTGTTTGTGGTCGAGCAGCGACGGCGAGACGGCGAGGGAGCTATATAGTATAGCTTTACTCTCTCTCTCGGTATCGAGCAGAGATAGAGTTGTTGGAGACGGCAGAGCCTGTCAAAGGGTGATGAAGATAGAAGAGACTGTTATAGCGAGTCCTCTGGTATGACTCTGTGTGAGAGCGTATGATTTGTGAAGGTTTAAGGAGGAATTTTGGAGATGTTTCGGAGGAGTTGTTTATGTGGGAGGAGGGAAAAGTAAAGTTGCCCCGTTTATGGTGGTGTTGGCAGGGAAAGTGGAGGGAGGGAGGACCAGGCAATAATTACTGGTGTAGTAAGAGGTACCTGTTAGAGAGAACAGGAGTATCTCATGCATACTACAAACAGCGATAAGGTACATATTTATTCTCTAACAGGTACAAGATTCACCTATTAATGTACAGGTTTTTGTTATTTTCTATGATGGCGACAGAACCCGAACCTGACAATCCTGACAATCCTGACAATTTGTATAGGGAACTCCCTCGTTCTAGCCCAACTTTTTAGTTATTTTATGTATCCCCCTTGTACTTGCGATAGTAATTTCTACAGGGAAGTGTAGGGGCTAAGCTATGCAGAGTACTTTACGGTACTTGGGATCACTAACATTTCTTACTAAATTTACTAAAATTTACTCCTAGAAGGGGCAACCAAGCACGAGCTTTGCTTTGTGGCTGATACAATAATCACTGAAAATGAAAAATGTACACTATGCATCCATGACGTGTACGCCACAATAATCCTGTCTTTTTGTTTCTTTAAGATACTTTGTATATCTCTATGTTGGTGCCATGTTCGTGCTCATTATGATGTATCTCATCTTTTGCGTGTTACTTATATCTGAATCTCCATCTGTCCTCTGTATACCCTCATTCCCGTCCCCCCTAAAGATCACCCCTAAATCCAGACCAAAACATAAACAGTGCGTAATATGATATTTATGATATTTTTTCCATGGTATATTTGTCTGTGCTATGCTATCTATCTCCCAAGTACCGCACCACCCGCCCGCACCCCCCTAGCAACAATCTGTGGCGCACCTAATACCTACCCCCTGCTAAACAAATACCCCTACACGCACCACCACCCCTCACAAAAATAAACAAAATTGACATGTGATACAACCCGATATCAAAGGAGTCATCCATCCCCGTTGTGTGATGGGACGCGTGGTCGTGTCGCGAGGACACATCACTGTTCATGTGCTTGTGTTGCCTGGGAGTAGGGGAAAGGGGATGGGGGTTGGTTTGTGAGGACGCGTGGGGATGTGTGGGGGGTGCGTAAGGCAGTAGGAGGACAGGCTGGAGGACAGAGAGGCAAGAAGATAGATATTCCTCAGAAGGGAGAGCAAGGCTGCGATAAAAGGAGACTGAATAAAATGATACCTGTCAAGATCATAATAGTAGTTGTAGTGTAATTCAGCCTCTAAAAAAGCTCGAGATGCTATCCCCCAGGCCAGCCCGGAAACACCCTCCTCTCCCCCACTCACTCTCCCTCCCCCTCAAACCCCCGGGTATCAACCACCTACGCCAACCCCGCACAAATCGCCGCCACCGCCCCGCGATCATACTTAACATACTTCCCCCTCCCCCTATCTAACTCATGATACCTATCCCAAAACCTCCCATACAGCGGCTCCACCATCGCCTGCACATCCCTCGCAAACGCCTCCCTAACCTCCTTCTCCATCGTCAACATCTTATGCTTCGCCACCAGCTCATCAAACGTCGCATTAAACTGCCTAAACTTCTCCTTAATCGTATCCCTCTCCTTACTACTCAACGCCTTCACCACCGCCGCGGATTCATTCCCTGTGCTCCCCGACGCCGGCCGACCCGCCCGTCCACCCCCCGTCCTACTGCCACCCGTATGCACGACATCCATTAGGATCCTCGATGTCTCGAGCCATGGATCCATATACAGACTCGTCGCCTTCTTCTTCCACGTATCCAGGCTCGGGATCCGGGATTTCAGCAGGGGGGCGAGATCAGACGCGCTGATCATGCGATTCACAACCACCAGATTATTCGCCAAGAACACACCCTGCAACTGCTTTGTCTTGAGCAGCTGCGCGCCCTTAGCCTGGAGGGAGGAGAGCAGCGCATCGACCGTGTCGGCGCTGTAGTGCGCGAAGAGCTCTTTGCCGTCCGCCGTGACGTCGAACGAGGCAAGGGAGGGGGTAGTGTCCGCGGAGGCGTTGGTGCCGGATGCGCTCTTCCAGTTGCCGTCGCCGAGGGAGATCATGATGCCGGAGATGGGGCGCAGGAATTCAACCATGGTTTGGAGACGTGCCATGGTCTCGGTGGTGATGGGGAGGGGGGGGACGTCGACGGGGATGCTCTGGATCCCGCTGACGCGTTTGCGTGTATCGTCTAAGAGTTCCGCGAGGGAGGTGCGGGCAGTGTCGCGGATTGGTTTGAGGACAGACCCGAATGGGCCTTTGAGCTCGCCTGTCTGCGTCTCAACGCGGCTTGAGAGCTGGGAGATGATCTCGAGGATCTCGTAGGCGAGGAAGCAGTCCGTGGTGAGGTGGGCGCGGATATGCACGTTCAGCTCGCGGAGCGTCCTGCCGACGTCGTCCATGGCGCCTTGGCAGGCGAGGTTGAACACCCGGCCCCAGTCGTCGCGGGCGAAGAGCGCGCAGACGTTCTCGTGCTCGGCGATGTAGGCGCCTTCGATGGCTTGGGCGTACATCCCGATCCCGTTCGTGCCGTGCTTGTAGATGGCATCGGCGGACTTCTTCTTGGCTGTGTTTACGGATGCGGCTGCGAGGTTGGCGAGGGAGGCTTGTAGGTATGGGCCGCGGACGTTGGCGTAGATTTTTGCGGTTGGGCTCTCTTGGGCTTGGGCGACCATTGATGTCTGTTGGCGGGCACCAACGAAGGAGTTGATGAGGCCAAGCCGTGTGGTCTTGTCCTGGCTGAGCGTGGGCCAGGGTTTCTGTTTCGTGATGAAGTTCAGCGGCTCGACTGGTGCTGCATCTTCCTGTAGTATGCGCCGAAAGACAGACTCTAGCTGCTGATTCCCAAACTGTATTAACCTGCTGAGATCGGACAAGGCTTGCTGGTTTGATTTCATATTTGTAGATTTGAGGTCCGACAAGGCCCTAGTGACACGGTTCATCGACGCCAGATAAGATGACAATCCCGCATTGTCCGGCCCCGATCTGATGATCTCCTCCTCATTATTCTTGATATCCGACGGCCCGCGCACCGTCTCAATCGCACCAAGTATCGAGTCTATATTGTTCCCCAGTACTTGTAGTCGTTGTGTATTCCCGTGAATTGGGCCAATCGCCTCCTGTACACTGCGCCCGCTGGTCTCTAGTCGTGTCAGGGAAGCTTGAATCTTCTTCGTCAGTTGCGCTGTCTTCTCCAGTCGTGATGTCAGGACATCGACTTCCGCTCGCGCCTCCTCGTCTGCTGCCTGGCGCGCGCTCAGGGTAATAGCCATTGCGATTTGCTGCGCATCCGCTACCGGAGTGAAATAATCCCGTATCACTGTGCTGTCTCAAAGGAATGTCGTCATTCTCTCCAGCCAGGCGCCAATCGAAGGGTGAGCTGATGTTATTGTCGAGCTTGGGTATGGTGTGTGAGGTTGCCCCGTTGCGGGATCTTGTTGAGAACCGAGTTATGCAGTCACAAATAATGTAGGGATCAAAGTAGTATATTATAGAAGACTCAATGACCTTCGTATGCTTCTGGAATGTTGTGAATTCTGACGTGTCGCATAGTGTGCTTTAGGGAGGTTCACTGATCGACGAGTGAGAGGTGAGTGATGATCGCTACCTACACGCGCGGGCCTCATGGGTGGCTCCAGCCACACACATATTGAATCAGGTACCAGCCACAGACAGCACCAGCCATGTTACCAGCCACAGTCATCAGCCACAGATGTCACATGCAATTTAAAATATGATAGAGTATGTTTTCTGTGGCTTAGCGCCTTAGCGCCGGGGGAGTAAGAAGTGGCGGGAGCTACCCACCTACCCGATTTGTTCCTGGTTTGGCCGCCATACGCCGGTAGTCAGTCTAGTCCCCTCCAAAATCCCTTATTCCCTGATTCTGAATCTTCAGCTCCTCTAGAATTTAGCTTCTTAAAAAAATCACAGGTCATAATAGTTCTGCATAGCATCCAGCTCATCGCCGTCATGAGATTGGGTGCCAATTGCATCTTGCCATGATTCTGACAGTGCTGAAGACCCTTAAACACAACCCCTCTCTACCAAGCCGCCGCGCTCTTGTACCTTATTCGCAGCTTGCGCAGCTGTCGCATTGGAGTCGAGGCCCGCGATCGAATATATTAGGACGGATTGAACCTCGAAACCCCCTCAGGCATGATCGCGTAGTCGCCCAGAAAAGACACTTCTTCCGACGAAAGCCAGCCAAGGCTCCGATGGATTCCAATGGCACTGTGGCCAAGGCTACTACAATTGTACTTATCGCCGGCCTCGCCTATGTCCTGTATGAGAATGACTTTCTCCAGCCCCTGCCGCCTACGAAGACCCGGGAGCGGTTGACGGTTGAGCGAGTTGCGCGCCAGAAGCTAGAGGAGAAGATTGAGCAGGATGCGACGGAGAATGTGGAGGAGCTGTCAAGCTTGCCTTTCGCAAAGGCGGCCGCTCCTGATAAAAATGCAGACGATTCATCATGGGGCCGCTTTGCGAGCGGGTTCGAATCACTGGCTTCTCTGAAGGATGTTGAGTGGAGTACTGTCCAAGGAAACATCGCTGGTTTTATCCTGCCGGAGTGGGCAAAGAACATCCAGGAAGGCTTGTCGAAATTGCAGCTTGAGATGTCAATGGCTCCTGGAAGTCTTGCCGATGAGATCTGGAAGGATGCCCAAGACCCAGAAAACAACCCCGAGATCGCGCGCCGCGCGACCGTTCGAGTGTCCCAGGAGCTATGCGACGAGGAAAAGGAGTTTCTGAAGAGGCGCAAAGTGGTCACCACAACCGCACTGGCAAAATATCTCGGTATCCCAGAAGAAGAGGTCCATCCGGATGATGTCCCTACTATTGCTATGGTGAGCTCCGGAGGTGGGTTGCGCGCTCTTGTCGCAGGAACAGGTTCTCTGCTTGCTGCACATGAAGACGGCCTCTTCCAGTGCGTCACCTACACCGCCGGTGTTAGTGGAAGCTGCTGGATGCAGGCAATCTACCATTCATCTCTGGGAAATCGCCGCTTCGACTCTATGGTTAATCATCTAAGAGCGCGCCTTGGTACTCACATCGCGTACCCACCCGATGCTCTTACGGCTCTCAACTCTGCACCTACGAACAAGTTCCTACTTAGCGGCTTTGTCGAGAAACTGAAGGGAGACCCCGGTGCCGACTTTGGCGTCGTTGATCTCTATGGACTGCTACTCGCGGCAAGACTTCTCGTTCCAAAGGGCGAGCTTGGTGTCGACAACAGGAACTTAAAGATCTCCAACCAACGCGAAAGCTTGAAAGATGGCGAACACCCCATGCCTATCTACACTGCTGTCCGCCACGAGATCCCCATTCTTGAAGAGTCCACCGACAAGGAGAAGGAGAATGACAGGCCATCTGAGGAGACGAAAGCACTGGCAAAGAAGGAGGCGTGGTTCCAATGGTTCGAGATCAGCCCTTACGAGATGTTCTGCGAAGAGTTCTCAGCCGGTATTCCCACTTGGGCCATGGGCCGACAGTTCAAAGACGGCAAAGACGTCCCGCAAGAGAACGGCCTTACAGTCCCAGAGATGAAGCTGCCACTTCTAATGGGTGTCTTTGGTAGCGCTATGTGCGCTACCTTGAGCCACTATGCGAAGGAGGTCAAACCAATCATGAAGGGCATTCTACCAGTCGGTTTCTCAACCATCAAAGACATCATCGAGGAGCGCAACGATGACCTCTCCAAAGTGCACCCCATCGACCCCGCATCAATCCCCAACTACTGTGTGGGAATGAAAGACAGACTCCCCGACACAGCACCCGAGAGCATCTTCAAGACCGATCACATCGAGCTCATGGACGCAGGGATGTCAAACAACCTCCCCATCTACAGCTGTCTCCGCCCAGGTCGCGACGTCGATATCCTCATCGCCTTCGACGCCAGCGCCGACATCAAGACCGAGAACTGGCTCCAAGTGACAGAGGGTTACGCCCTGCAGCGTGGCATCAAGGGATGGCCCCTCGGTGCCGGCTGGCCCAAGAAGTCCGATTCTTCTGAGGAAGCCGCTGCCCAGCTTGAAGACGCGCAGGTTACTTCGGCCGCTGAGGCAGAGGCGAAGCTCAAAGAGGCGAAGGCGGATGCGGAGGCGGAGCATAAGGCGCATGATAAGGCGGTTGCTAAGAAGGATACTTCGAAAGGCAGAGTTGCGGCCGCTAATCTTGATGGAAACATCGGTGACAACGGCGACCTGGGATTCTGTAGCGTCTGGGTCGGCAGCACGCAAGAGCGCGAACACACCGATCAATCCACGGCCCCGCAATCCAAGGACGAGTCCGATTCCGAACCTAAGTCCAAATCCGAGGAGTGGAAACTCATGGAGCCCGACGCAGGTATCGCAGTCGTCTACTTCCCACTCCTCGCGAACCCAGCATTGGAAGGTGTGGACCCAGAGACCAGCCCGTACATGAGCACGTGGAACTTCATATACACGCCCGAGGACGTGGATAACGTTGTTGGGCTTGCGAAGGCGAATTTTGAGGAGGGGAAGGAGAGGACGAGGCGGGTGGTGAGGGCGGTGTATGAGAGGAAGAAGAGGGCGAGGGAGGAGAGGGAGGGGAGGGAGAGGGAGGAGGTTTTTAGGAGGAATATGAGGATGGGGGCTGTGGGGGAGGATGGGGGGCAGGAGCATGCTTAGGGGGTGTGTGGGGGGGCGGTTGGTGTATGAGGTTGGGAGTTTGGGTGGTTTGGGGCCTGGGGTATGGGGGGTTTCGGTTTGGTGGATGTGTTGGTTGATATAAGGTGGTAGTTTTGTTTGGTGTATGTGAAGTAAGTTGGGCATCTAATACCAAGTTCAGTTTGTTTTGATGGCGCAGATGCTCGAGAGGAGAAGTGGCCATTAAGATTAAAGGTTGTCGAATCCATCTGTATAATTTTTTATCACATACGGAGCACGCGGGAATCGAATTTACTTGTGGGGACGTTTAATGTTCACCTACGTGTAAGAATTCACCCCTAGTCTTTGCGAACAAAGAAACAAAGAAATAAAGATTCTCATAGTAAGAACGCGTCCTATATCCCACTAAACAAAGACACCTTCTGCTTCTCTCTACCCATCACTCACATCCGTCAGTCATCACGCCTCTCTAAACCTCAAAATCAAAATCAAGAGGCAACCTACAGCCACGTTCTATAATGGGGGAGTGCTTCAAGCTTACAGTTCCACGAGCTAGGGGCACGCTTCGCGAGGGAGGCACGGTCGACGAGATGATGTTATTTGCCACGATGGACGAATTTACAGTACCTCACTTCGTTATCCCGACCGCATCAGCTCAGCAAGCATCTTCACCAGCCGTCGCTAGCCCAGCTACGCCCGTCACCTCAGCTGAACCCCAAGGCGGCAGCAGCGGCCTCGATGTCTCAAGCCCATCCCAATACGCGGTCGTCGCTGTCACCCGGAGCCAGGAGCCCCAGAACACCTTCTACACGCTCCCATTAGACATCCACGAGCTTATCTTTGCCCACCTCGACGACCTCGCGGACCTCACGTGTGTAGGCCTCACGTCGCCATATCTCTGGGGGGTGACGCAGGATATTGTTCATCGGCACTATCGAAAGCACTTTGGACGCCTTGCGGGCGAGAATATCGTCTTTGCTGGCGCCGATACCCTCCCTGACGACTACCCCCCCGCCTTGTTCTTAGTTTCAGAGTCGAAAGATTTAAACGGGAGGGTTTCCACCATGCGTGACGGTAGAGAAGATATTGGGCCACTCACCCTGTATAACATGGCCGAACGGCTCGGTGTCCGTTACTATGGGAGGATAAACATCGAGGAGAAATCGCGGAATGTCTATAACGAGTGTCTGAGGCGGACGACTGCACCAGACCATTCGCAGTCGTCGTGGCGGAATGCGGTTCAGCGCAAGGTCGGGGAGATTTGCGTTCAGGAATCACTGTTTGTGCCGACGGATCAGGCGTGGCTTCTGCGAAACCTGGCAACTAAAGAGTTTGTCACATTAGGCGGGATCGCCTTGGACGTAAAGTTTATCCATGGGCCATTTATCAAGGGCACTGGGTTCGGCCAGGTGTTGGTGTCACGCACGTGTTGGTCCTCGAGTAGTAGCATTAGCATGTGCTTTGATGGGAAGATTCATAATGGGGTATGGTCCGGACACTGCTTCGATATCACAACGCGCGGACGGCATGATAAGAGTACCAAGGATGAAAAGGCCGAGTGGAAGGATGTGAGCGAGGAGGTGGCGGCGGAGATTGCGGCGGTCTGGAAGAGCGAGTATGGGCCCGGCTGGCAGGAGGTGGCTATTGAAAGGGCTGAAAGGTATAAATGGACTATTCTAGGGCGAGTACTCGGAGGTGGCGGCACCAAATGCTGGACATGAGCCATGGGTGACCAGCCCTGGATTCTATAGAACCTAACGACAATGGAGTTTGTTACAGCGGCTGGGATTGCCTTGGATGCGGAGTTCATTAAGGGGCCTGTTATAGCCGGTATTGGGTTTGGCCATGTAATATTGTGCCGTACGTGCTGGTCGTTGAATAGCAGCGATGAGGGTCTCTATGGAGGGCGGATTCGTACTGGAGTGTGGGCAGGACATAGGTTCGATATCGCGACGCGTGAACGGCATGATAGGAGCGCTAAAGATGAAGAATGGAAGAATGTGAGCGAAGAGGTGTCGGCGGAGGTTGCAGCGATCTGGGAGAGCGAGTATGGTGCTGGCTGGCGGGAGAGATTTATATAGACTGCTATGTTTACAGACACTGAGCTGATGGGAAGGCGGTCTCGAGATTTAGCTCTTTCTCAGCATGAGATGGGCCCCTTCAGTTGTGCTTATGGGTCTTCCGGTATGGTGTTGGATTTATGATGCGTTTGGGATGGTTGGGCGAAGACGGGGATATGGGGTATAGAGGTGGGGATAAAAGGGGGCCAGAGGGATGTGAGCGAGGTAGCAGGAGAAATTGCAGCGATCTGGGAGAGTAAATAAATAAGTCATTAGGTGAAGGAGGCGTTGAAATAGGAAGGTCTTCTATGGTCTTTTCTATATCCAGCTCAACTAAAATATGGCATTGTTCTGTTATCTGTATCCATCTTCGCTTCTCTTGTCACATCTCTATGAGCCTTGCTTTAAGCCACAACAACCACAACAACACCAACAACTCACTCAATAACCACCAACTGAACAACTTTATAAACTTCTGATACCCTTCTCTTTCTTGGAAGATCTCCCAACATTGCTAAATTTCCCCCCTTCGGCAAAAAAGGCAACCTACCTTATCCTACTTTTCCACAATGGGGGAGGTGTTCTACATCACAGCTCCGCGAGCAAAGCGTATGCTTCGTTCGAGCGACGAACTTCAGAATATATTCTTTGATAACAAGGCCAGCGAACTAGTCACACTCCTCGTTGTCCCCACTAGGGTAAAGAAGCAATCACAGAAGCAATCACAGAATCAAGCAGTTTCACCCTCCGCCGCCTCCACCGCCTCAGCCGCTACAACCAACGCCCAGAGTGGCCGCCTCGACTTAAGCCCATCTCAAAAGGCCGTAGTCGTTTCTCAGAAACTCACGGATGCCACAGCGGCCACCAGAAACCCGCTGGACACCTTCAGCACGCTCCCATTAGACATCCTCTCAATGATTTTCGACCATCTCGACGACATCGCGGATCTCACGTGCGTGGCCCTTGCGACACCATACCTATGGGACGTCACCCAGAGAACCATCCATCAGCGGTACAAAGCAAAGCTGGGGAAGTGGGCAGGCGAAGCTATTGTGTGTGTCGGCGAGAAAATCCCAGCAGGGGACTACCCCCCCGACTTATTTTCTCCGGATGAAGTCGAGAGGTTGAACAAGGAGGCTGACGTCTATTTTGGGGGTGGTTGTGGGAGGTTCTTGGCCAGGCCTCAGAAATCGCCGCGCACGTTGGCTAACTTGGCCTACCCGCCTAACGGAACTTTCGATAGGGAGGGCATCACTGCAGATGCAGAGGCCTCGAGAGTCTTTTACGCGTGTTTACGCCGCTGCTCGCGTTATCCTTCGACAGAGCTTCGTGCCAGACTCCGGCGGTGGATTTACACGGACCGTCCTGATTTTGCGCCGCGGGAAGAGGACTGGATTCTTCGGAACCTGACTATGAAGGAGTTTGTTACGGCAGAGGGAATCGCCCTGGATACCGACTTCATCAATGGGCCATTTATTTCCGGGATAGGGTTTGGAGACGCTGTTGTGGCGCGAACATTGTGGACTGCGAAAGGCACGCCTGATTTGCGATACGTGCCCCAGATCGGGAGGGGTATCTGGGCGGGGCATCGGTTTGACATCACCACACGCTCAGGACATGATGAAGCCACCAAGGATGAGGAATGGAGGGATGTGAGCGAGGAAGTTGCGAGTGAGATTGCAGGTATCTGGGGGAGTCAATTTGGGCCGCATTGGTTAGATGTGGGCCACTTCTATCAGCGATTCTACGAGGAAAATGAAAGCGAGCGCATTTATGCCGACATTTGGGATGAGCACTTGGATCAGTGAGTTGGGTCTGAAGTCACAAATAATATCAGCCTTCTTATCACGTTCATCATTAGGTAAATCGCGGGGAGGATCAACTTCCGTGCCTTCTTGTCAATGGAACGAGATATTTGCAGACAGATGAGTTGCCCATGGATTGTACGATTATAAGACAGAGGATAGTTGCGCCGGTCCGAGGGGGATCACTTTCCGAATGCAACCAAACAACAAGACGAGTCCTACACAGACAAAACAAAGAGATATGATATGACGGGATATCAAGAAAGGCGCTTCAGAGGCAGAATCGAGCGGCTGAGCGAGCCCAACTCCAACAGCTGTCAGCCCTGGCGTAGCGCCACCACTTCCACGGACCACCAATTTGTGCAGAACAGACCGCAAGGTTACGCCGTTTCAGTGCTGGAGCGTTATAACGGCGTTATTGAATTGGCTGAGACAGGACCAGGGTGGTTTTTTTTCCCACGATGTGACGACGAAGGGGTCCAGCACGTGATAGCGGTTCGTGGGGGTTCATCAGCTAGAAGTGCAAATGCGAAAAAAGGGGCATCCCCGGATACTTCTACTCTCTATCAGCTATGGTTATTGCTCGTGTGCGTATAAGTGATACTCGAAATAACTCTTCCTTGTAAGTAAACTATACAATGCCGTTCTCCATATATACGAGATCTGACCTCAGATCCGTGTCCGCCGCAACCGCGTATAGCACTATGGGGCAAGACCCGGTTAATAGTCTCCTATATTACCGCTATATCGAGTTGCGGCCCCGGTATTCCGATCGGTGATGATGATGATGCGATCAGAGCGGGTCGTGGGTGGTTCATGCTTGGTTCGTGGTGGGTGGCCCGTACAGCCAAGCCCGTTGCTCTTTCCTCGGTCTGTTCGTATCCCGTTCCTGACGCTGATCGGCAGCGGTGTGGGGGGGTTCGCCGGCATTATCGCAACACGCCTACGACGCCCCCCCTCCTAGCGTTGGCGCCGTGCAGCTAATCCCACTCAATTATCGAGTTATACACCGGAGAAAGGCCAACTCAGACCTAGAGTGTACAGTACAGCAGCTGGGAGAACGGACATCTTTACTATCCTCGTAACTCTCTACCGCTCGATATTCATTCCTCTTCTCTTCTTGCCGTCGTTACTTACTTTTCTACTCCAGTATTCTCTACTCTCTACTCAACACTCCACTTCTACTACTACCGCCACCGCCGCTCGCTGCTGTACTGTACCCCCTCAAAGACCACATACCTCCACATTACCTCCACATCCCTCTCCTTTTAGTCATGGCGATCCGTGTTTCGTGTGCATGAACCAGAACCGATCCTGCACAACACTGCACAAGTCAAAAAGAAGCTCTTGGCTGTCTTGCCAACACGGCTCTAGTCGACTACACACGACACCGCTCCACTTCCGTCCGACCACCCAAGCTCACTAAGTAAGCTCACCGCACATCAACTACTATTTCCGTCTTTCTCCTCCCTCCCTCACTCAATATTCTATTTCTACCCTCAAACAACCCTCTCTCCTCCTCTCTCTCTCTGTACATATGTCCCTGTCATCCGCCTCACTCCCCATTCACGACCCAGTGATTCAGTCTATGGCCTCTCCCACAACCCTCTTCTCTCCCTCAAGTCCCGCCAATACGAGGCTGTGCCCGTGGTGGATCGGCGGTCAGAAAGCTTAATACAGCCACTACCTCTTTTTGGTCGTACTCAGCTTGTGCAAGAGGCGGTCATTGCGGAATAAAAATAAATACAGTAAATATATATACAAAGCTCTCTCCCCAGGGACCGTCCCCTTGGTCCGACATACACGTTGTGACACTCGCTTCACTTCCTTCGCCATGGGATTCCCGCCGTCAACTACTAGGGCGGTCTCGCCAGAGCATGTGAATTCCCACAACGACAACTTCGATTCAGATGACGACTCCGAGTACTATTTCCACACATATGCTCCCCTCTCATGCTTTCCCACGCCTCCGCCCTCATCACACACCTCCAGCCCACCCTCGCCATTCCCCGATACCCCGTCCGACTGCTCGCTGGACACCAGTTTACGAGGTACACCACCCTCCCCCTCTTCACCTACCGGCAAGATCACAAGCTAACCAACCCCAGGCCCAGCAACCTACCTCTCAAACCTCATCCCCTGCGCCGCCTCCCTACTCTCACCCTCCCCATCACTCACCCACACACTCCTCACGCACGCAAACCTCCCTATAGAAACCCTCGCACTAGCAGCCTGCATCCTCGACTCCCTCACCCCCCGCTTCGCAACCCTCTGGCGCCGCTCCCTCCCGCTCTCCTCTCTCCCCGAGTCGTCCCAACACATCGATTCCGTGCGCCCCGAAGTCATCATCCTCGCGGCGCTGATGATAGCCCACAAATTCCTCGACGACGCCGGAACGAGGACGAGGACTTATAGCGAGGTTGTTGGCGAGGGGAGGTGGGGAGTGGATATGTTGAATGTCACTGAGCGCTGCGTTTTGGAGAATCTAGGCTGGAGAGTTGCCAGGTTATGGAGGGGAGAGCTAATTGAGGGCGCGGAGGAGGATATGAGGAGGGCGGGGATGGTGTGGGAGATGGCTGGGAAAAGGGTTAGTGGTGGTGCGAGGATGAAGGGGGGACTGTTGACGCCTGTGGAGGGGGTGGTGGGGGAGGATATTGCTTGTTGAGCGGAGTCAGTGAGGAATACCCGTTAGTTATTGGTGGAGATTGCTTTCGTTTTTGGCGTTTCATGGGAGCGATGTCGTTGATTTGGATTTGGATTTTGGCGCAAACGGATGCATTTATGGGCGCTGCTGGCTGGGTGAGAGCCATGGTTTTAGCCCACGGGGAGTGGGATTGGGAGCGAAGCAAATTGTTGGTGGCATTGAGGGAGGGAGTACTCAGCCGTTTGATATTATGATACCCTGGAACATAGTACGTCGTATACCTAGAGAGAGGATGGATGGATGGAACCTAATGAATGGATTATCGATATTTTACTTTGCTTCGCAGGACTTCTTTGAGCCCGATCTTGATGTGGATGGGCTATGTTTGGTGTATATCATGTGAGAGGCCGACGAGCTATTCGCCTCGAAGTGAGACCAGTTTGCTATTTGCCAAATATCAAAATTTATACTCCTCCATATAACTCCACCGCTTCTCCAAAAAGCACAAATCTCGTAAATTCTCCAGATTACTGTTAATATTTAAAAGTCCCAGCCACATAAAAGCACGTGTTTACTCAGGTCCCAACTCAACGCGGGGTCTCCGCCCCAGAAACCACTTTACGCGAGAAAACGCGTCTGGATCAAGCGCGTCGCGTCAAATCTCCTATCCACCAACTTCAAATGCCCGCATCGAAGGAACAACTTCGGAAGTAAACCACCGCCACAACCACGACCACGACACCACATCTCCGCCGTCTCTTGTTGGCAGAATATTAGACGTCGATTTTTGAGGAGCGATATACCCGGCCCTGTTTGCCTATCCCTTCGCTCGTAATCGCCCAATATGAACGGCTTGGAGCTGAGAGATGAAGTGGTGAAGGACCGCATCCGCCAGGCGGAGGAGTTTCTCGATCCCAGTATGTCGTCTTGAGATTGGTGGTTACTTACTGGAAAGCATGAATCTAACAGTCCCCAGATGACAACCAAGCACGCAGCTACCGCTCGGAGATCATCCTAATGCTGCAGCAAAGGAAGCGTCGCCTCGTCGTCTCCATCGATATCGTGCGCGACCACAGCGTCGAGCTGGCAGAGGGCCTGCTCAACCAGCCTTTCGACTTCTCGCAAGCTTTCGACAAGGCGCTCAAGAATGTCGTGGCGACGATGCCAAACATAACGAAGCAGCAGGCGGATGAGGAGACGATGTACTACTGTGCCTTTGCTGGCTCTTTCGGCCACCTGGCCTGCAACCCTCGCACAATCAACTCGTCGCATCTGAACCGAATGGTCAGTCTTGAGGGAATCGTGACGAAGTGCAGTTTGGTGCGGCCGAAGATTGTGAAGTCGGTTCATTATAATGAGAAAGAGGATAAGATGCATTTCAGGACGTATCAGGACCAGACGATGACGATGGGCCAGGCGTCGACGAGTAGCGTGTATCCGCAGGAGGATGAACATGGGAACCCGCTTACGACTGAGTATGGACTGTCGACGTATAGAGATCATCAGACTATTAGTATACAGGAGATGCCGGAGAAGGCGCCGGCGGGACAGCTGCCTAGGGGTGTGGATGTGATTATTGATGACGACTTGGTGGATATGGTCAAGCCAGGCGACCGCATCCAGCTCGTGGGCACATTTCGTTCGCTCGGGAACCGCAACACGGCGCATAACAATGCGCTCTTTAAGACGGTCGTGCTAGCCAACAATATCATCCTGCTGTCCTCCAAGTCTGGCGGCGGTATCGCGACAGCAACAATCACCGACACAGATATCCGCAACATTAACAAGATCTCCAAGAAGAAGAACGTCTTCGAGCTCCTCTCGCAGAGTTTAGCACCTAGTATCTACGGACACGACTACATCAAGAAGGCCATCCTGCTCATGCTTCTAAGCGGCATGGAGAAGAACCTCGACACCGGCACACATCTGAGAGGAGATATCAACATCCTCATGGTCGGCGACCCCTCGACTGCCAAATCCCAACTCCTCCGCTTCGTCCTCAACACCGCCCCCCTCGCCATCGCCACCACCGGCCGCGGCTCCTCGGGCGTCGGTCTCACCGCCGCCGTCACCACGGACCAAGAAACCGGCGAGCGCCGCCTCGAAGCCGGTGCCATGGTCCTCGCCGACCGCGGCGTAGTCTGCATCGACGAGTTCGACAAGATGTCCGACATTGACCGCGTGGCCATCCACGAAGTCATGGAGCAGCAGACCGTCACCATTGCTAAAGCAGGGATCCACACCTCCCTCAACGCGCGCTGTTCGGTGTTGGCAGCCGCGAACCCGATTTACGGCCAGTACGATACGCACAAGGATCCGCATAAGAACATTAACCTCCCCGATTCGCTGCTGTCGCGTTTCGATCTGCTGTTTATCGTCACGGATGATATTGAGGATAAACGCGACCGCCAAGTCAGCGAGCATGTCCTGCGCATGCACCGATACCGCCAGCCCGGCACCGAGGAAGGCGCCCCCGTGCGCGAGTCCGGCGGCCAGACTCTCGGCGTGGGCATCGCGAACGATGCCTCTGCCGGCGCACCCACCGACGTCTTCGAGAAATTCAACGTCATGCTTCACTCGGGCGTGACCCTGACCCGCGGACGCGGCGCCAACAAACGCATTGAGGTCCTCTCCATCCCCTTCGTCAAGAAGTACATCCAGTACGCCAAGTCGCGGGTCAAGCCGGCCCTGCTCCCAGATGCGGGCGCGCGGATCGGAGAGATCTATGTTAGTCTCCGGAACGACGATATGGTGGCGAACCAGCGCAAGACGTCCCCCATGACTGTTAGAACGCTGGAGACGCTCATTCGTCTCGCCACCGCGCACGCCAAGGCGAGGTTGAGTCCTATAGTTGAGGAGAGGGATGCCCTCGCCGCGGAGGCGATCCTCCGCTTCGCGCTGTTCAAGGAAGTAGTAGAGGACGAGAAGCGCGGGAAGCGCCGCAAGACAAGGGTCGAGGATGAGGAGAGCAGTGGCGAGGACGATAGCGACGATGACGACGAGGATGAGACACCCGTTTCCCGCAGCGCGACTGCCCCGTCCACCCGCGGCACGGCGAGGACGAGAGCTATGCCCAAACGCGGCGCGAGAGAAGCCAGCGAGGAGAGCGAGGAGGAGGTATACACCGCCTCACCCCGCACAACGAGGACGAGGGCGTCGGCGTCGCAGTCCCAGGCTGCGAGGGAGTCGACTGCTGATCTGGCGAGCGGGACGGCGGCGTTGTCGATTGTTCCTAATCCGGATGCTATGGATGATGATGAGGAGGAGGAGGAGGGAGAGGGGATTAGTGATGAGAGGTTTGTGGTTTTCCGCGCGGCGTTGGGGAAGGTGGTTGGGGGCCCGTTGTTTGCGGATGATGCGGCGGAGGTGGGGGATGTGGTTGTTGCTGTTAATGGGGAGTGTGGGGGGGCGGTTGGGGGGGTGTTTGGGAGGGGGGAGGTGGTTGCTGGGTTGAGGAAGATGGATGGGTTGAATCAGATTATGTGAGTACTAACCTTTCCCTTTCCTGTGTGGGGGTTGGATGTTTGTTGGAATGGAGACTAATGGATGATTGATAGGTTTGCGGATGGGGAGATGGTTTATAAGATTTAAGAGTCCGGATTGTGGTTGAGTTAGATCGGGATGGATGGGATGGGGGGTGTGGGATGTAATTGGGAATTTTACGAAAGGTGATGATAGTTGAGACGCGACACATGTGAGGGACACCACGGTAGGAAGACGATGGGAGGATCTGAGATGGGGGGGAATAGGCGTTATTGAAATTTTGCCCACGGTGGGCGTTCGTTGCGGCGTTAGAAGACGCTGGGGTTGCATGCATGGAGACGATGATAAGAGTGAACAAAGAATCAAATATATTTGTCTGTCTATCTATCTATGTGTCTGCTTGCTCCAAAGGCGCCTTTTCAACGCTATATAAGAATGGTAGTATTAGTGGCGAGTTGTCCGAGTGAGGATGGATGTGGATGTGGATATCTGGCTGGCAAATCAATGAGACGGCACGGCGCAACAACATCTACCACGAATCCAATCCACCCTCCTTCCCTCTCAAAAATCTAAATCCCAAAACCCCCTCTCCAAACGCCCATCTCCATCCCACCACCACGCCCTTCTATATCGACACCCCCGCCATCCTCCCCGCCAACCCCTCATCCCCACCCCCACCCCGCCCCTCCAACTCCCTCATCCTCTCCCCAACATCCACCCCATTCCACCTCTCCCCCCCCTTCTCATCAAAACTAAGAACCGGCATCCCAACTTGCTCAATAGCCAAACTCGCCGCCACATTCCCCCACCGCGCGGCCTCTTCCAGTCCCGCTCCACGGGCGTGCGTTATTGTTAGCGCGCCGAGGAAGGCGTTTCCACCCCCCGTAGGGTCGATGACCTTTGCGGAGTTGGTGTGGTAGGCTGGGAGCCAGGATGAGAGGCCGAAGTCGCGGGTTGAGATGTCGTCATCTTCTCCCGGTTCGGAGGAGGTGGGGGAGGTGGAGGTGGGGGAGGAGGGAATGTCGGCGAAGAGGGACATCATGTCTATATCCGCCGTTAAGGCCAATCCTCCGCCGCGGATTTTCTTCGCTTTCTTCGGAGGAAGGGGGGGAGGGGATGCGAAGTTCGAGTTTGAGGAGGGTGTTGGCCGAGGGTGTGTTGGGGCTGAGCGCCCGCCGTTTTGCGCTATGTAGCATCCGTCTGCGCCACAGCGGACGATGATGGCGACTGCGGAGAGGGGCATGGAGGCCAATAGCATCTCGGCTGCGTCTTCGACGAAGGTTCGGTCTACCGAGCCATCTGGGAGGGAGGCGGGGGAGCTCATCAAGGTGCCGAGTTCGGAGTGGTTGGGTGAGCAGATGTCGACGTAACCTAGTGCTGCGGTGGTGGCAAGGAGTTCGGTGGGGAGACAGCAGTCTGGGACTGGTTCCCAGATGAAGAGGGGTTTGGGGGGGGAGAGGGGGTAGAGGGTTTGTCGCCTCAAGGAGAGGATGTTGGTGACGAGGCTGATGCAGCGGGAGGGGGAGCAGATGAGGTGGAAGGACTTGGCGTGGAGGAGAGCGGGGGAGTCGAGGAGGTCATGGTGTTCGAGCCGGAGCTTCGGGGTGGTGTAGCGGAAGGCGCGGTGTTGGGGGTCGGTGGGGGAGGAGTAGCTGTTTAGGGCGCGGGTGGTGAGGCGGGTGGGGTCGGTGCGGAGGAGGCAGGAGGTTTGCCAGGTGTTGAGGTGGGAGGTCTGGGAGGGGGGGAAGTCGGAGCCGCGGTCGACTATCCAGCCTACTTTTTTAGAGAGGTGGGGGGCGGGGGAGGCGAGGCGCGCGCCGAGGGCGGAGTAGGTGCCGGCGCCGCCGAGGATGTTGTGTTGAGGTGGTTGGGGGGGGGGGTATTGTATTTCATCTGTGAGAATGTTAGAGGGGGGGTTGAGGGGGAACACGTGTTTTGAAGGAGAGAGTGGCCAAGGAATGAATAAATTCGAGAATGTATTGTAGTAGCACTCCTAGCTCTACTTTCAAATACACTGAGAGTCATTTCAAAAAAGCTCAAGATCGTCTGTGGACAGAGCAAATCATGCCAGACGGGAGATGAGGGTATGACAGGATGAGGGGTAATAACATCAAGTTATAAAGTCGAGACTGAGCTTATATAAAACTTATAGCAAAGTCTCTACAATCCCCAACTATTCACATATGTAGACAAGGGTATATATGCATCCTGGCTGTATAATAGATGGTGGTATTGTACAGTACATATGACACCGATACCGGTGTAAATTGACGCCTGGGAGGATAGACGGAGAACAAAGACAGAATAAACACAGGAGCTTACCAAGAATGAACATCCCAAGAGTGCAGAAGTCTATCTCCTGATCCGGGTTGATCTCCTCCACGTCCATAGCGGTGGCCATTTTCTGTTAATATCGTTAATATGGTGAAGTTATAGAGCTTTCAACTCTACAGTAGAGGGGAAGCAACGAACGACGACGACGAGGACAAGGCTGAGGGTTTTATTTGTGGCGGCAAAATTTAGTTGCTGGGTCCACCGCCCACCGCCTACCACCCACTAAAACCCGCAAGGCTCCCACTCAGCCCGCCCTTTCAGGAGGCCGGATTAAATATATCGCCGATCCGCCGTTTAATTACTCCGGAAAGTGGTGAACAAAGAGTGGCCCGACGAGCTACTATTCTATTACTATTGACTTATGTCAGCCTACGTACGACAATTGACATTGACATTTGCTATCAACACAATAAAGACTAATTGATCTCTTTCTCTTCGCTGTAGAAAGTATATATCTTCATATCTTCACATATATTCACATATATCATCGCACTTTCCTGCATAATTGCTTGCAGTTGTTGTCTTTGGACCCTTACTACCTTCCTCCCTCCATTGTCTGGCAAGAACAAGAACCGTCTGCCTGCGCCTTCCTTCCTTCAACTCATTCTGCACAACAAACCCTACACAAGATGGCTGCCAACATGAATAATCTGACAACTCTCATTAAGAGGTAATCCCCGCTCAATTATCTTTCTTCCCCATCTCCAAAGCACGACTGTGGGCGCAGCCTACCACTCAACATGCGGCCGATTAAATCTATTTGGAACATCAGGAAGGACCACAGGCTAACTAGAGTGATTCTCAGGTTGGAAGCTGCGACATCTAGGTTGGAGGACTTGGTGACACCAGCCTTTGAGGATCCAGCATCGTCGACACCAAAAGAAAACGGCGACAATTCCACAACCACCCGAACCCCCGCTCCGTCGGGAAGCAGCACGCCCGCAGCTGGCATTGCTGCTGGTGCTGTCGGTGCTGCCGCAGCTGCTCCGGTAGCCGCGGCCGCCGCAGCAAATACAATTTCCCCGCCCAAGCCAGCCGACGACCCAGTGCCCGAGTCGGTGGAGGACTTTGATACCTTCCTGGACACATCAGTCAAGAAGTATGTTGATCTCAGTGTCGAAATCGGCGGCGCCATTGCGGCTCAGGCTGCACGAGTCGCAAAGGTCTTCCAGAATGAGCGCACGCTGCTCCTCATCTCCACAATGTCGAAGAAGCCCGACTCGTCTGGGAGCGAATATATGGAGCTCCTCAAGCCTCTCCAGCAAGAGATCCGAACGGTTATCGATGTAAAGGACGCAAACCGTGGCTCAGAACTCTCAAACCAGCTCAGTGCAGTTGCTGAGAGTATAGGAGTCATCGCATGGGTCACAATGGACACCAAGCCATACAAGCATGTTGATGATAGCTTGGGATCCGCTCAGTACTTTGGAAACAGGGTCCTGAAGGAGTTCAAAGAGAAGTAAGTCTTGCTATGATGTCAGGTAGCTACGGCATACTAATAGAATCCAGGGACCCTCAACAAGTTCAATGGATCCAATCTTACTACCAAATATTCAAGGACCTGAGCGCATACGTCAAGACCACCTTCCCCCACGGACTGACGTGGAATGCGAACGGTGTCAGCCCGAAGGAGGCCATGAAGACTGTTAGCTCAAGGGAGTCGACTCCAACCCAGGGTCCATCGTCATCTCCGTCTCCGTCTCAAGCATCATCTGCAGCCGCAGGAGGACCGCCACCACCCCCTCCACCTCCACCAGGCCCAGCGCCAAAATTCGATATTAAAGAGGTTGCGAAACCTGCAGCTGCTGTAGGAGGGATTGGCGCGGTTTTCTCCGAGCTGAACAAGGGTGACTCTGTGACTAAGGGTCTTAAGAAAGTAAGCGCGAACGAGATGACACACAAGAACCCATCACTGCGTGCTAGCTCCATCGTCCCAGACCGGAGCGAGAGTAGTCTGAGCCCGACGTCGTCCATCAACCGCAACAAGAGCCCTGCGCCGCGCAAGACACCAAAGCCAGAGTCGCTGAGAACCAAGAAGCCCCCGAAGAAGGAGCTTGACGGGAACAAGTGGATTATCGAGAACTTCGATAACGAAGCTGAGATGGTTGTGATTGATGCCTCCATCTCTCAATCCATCCTCATCAGCAGGTGCAGCAAGACCACCATTAAAATCAATGGAAAGGCCAATGCCATTTCAATTGACAACACCGCCCGCCTGTCTCTCGTCATCGACTCTCTCGTCTCGTCCGTTGACGTTGTTAAGTCCTCCAACTTCGCATTGCAGGTTATGGGCACGCTGCCAACTATTCTTCTCGACCAGGTCGACGGCGCCCAGATGTACCTGAGCAAGGATAGCATGAAAACGGAGGTCTTTTCGAGCAAGTCCTCGAGCGTTAACCTGAATATCATTGAGGGCGAAGAGAACGATGAGGGCGAAGGGGGCGACTTCAAAGAGATGGCGCTACCGGAGCAGATCCGCACCTATATTAATGAGAAGGGCCAGCTTATCAGTGAGATTGTAGAGCATGCCGGTTAGATACGTTTTTCTCGGGGAGTTTAGTTTATATTTGTATCGATAGGTGTGCCTCACTGTTGATACCAGCGTTGCATGGGGTCGCTGTAGAGCGTGGCAGTCACATAGCTTTAGCAATTGAAGTATCTTTGTTTGTCAAGAGGATTCTCGTATTTTTACTAATATTGTCCCTTCGTCTATGACCCTTGATGCGACTCCGAATATGTACAAACACAGCCATCCAACATCTTATGCGGACTTCTTCCCCTCCTTGACCTCCTTCTCGTGCTCAATAATCTGCTTGCTCCAGCTATGACCCGTTAGTATCCATGACGGTATTCAACGCAAGCTGCGGCGAGAGATTTGCACATACTATCGACTTGGGTAGAAGCGACCCTGCTCTGGGAACTTCGTCCGGTACTCGTTCTCGGCGCTGTACTTCCATGACATTGCCGTGACTCCGAAGATGGCAGCCAGCATTACTGCAGTGTTGACCTTCCAGTTCTTAGGCTGCGTGTACCAGCCACCAGCTGGTGACCAGACGTGCTTGGGGTATCTACAAATAGTTGGTTAGTTGATGATGCCCTCGGGGAATCGTATCGTGTTGTGGAGAGAGCTCGCAAACGTACGGAACTTTTGCGCCGCCACCCTGATAACCATTAGCACGCATCCCACATATCGCAGACGTGCAATTGACTTACCATCTTGATGAATTGGCTGTAATCGTGGTGGTTGATGTTCCGCTCCAACGCGAATTTCAGCGGATGAGGTTGGATTGGCGTGGTGAGGGACTTCCCGGCCCGCTTAGTCATCACCCAATTGAGGCACGAGATCTTTCTCGCAAGCTTTAAAAATTATTGGGACCGCGCATATAACTCCCTCCCCCTACTGCAGCAAGTTCGCCCAACGCCGCCCCAGTCGACCATTTACGAAGTTGTCATACCGGACCGGCGAGGACGTACAAGAGGAGGACATATACATTATACCCGATGAAGAGCTTACGGGTGGCCGAGAAATGGACGGGCCAGCTGCTGGCAAGGAGGACTGCAAGACCCTGCTGCATCCGACAGCAGCGCCAACAAGGTCCGCAGCAGCAGCTCGTACGAGGCATTGCCACGACCAGGCAATTGTCGAGCGCGGCCGCCGCAGCAGACGAAGTTCTCTTTGAAGATGAATCGCTGAACACGCTCCGCCAAGCACCCGAGGAGTCCTTCCCATCACCCCTACCCAGCGCGGCTCACACCTCCGCCAAGCTGGCAGCACTACACGCCCGTCTCGGGCTCCCCGCGAAGCTCCCCGTGGAAACCCTCGCGAGGACGCTCGTCGACCCCTCCGCTGACCAGGCGAGGGATTTCAATAACGCTTCCCTCGCCCTAGTAGGCTCCTCGCTCCTCTCCTTCCACGTCTCAGAGTGGATTCTCTGCACCTACCCCCGCCTCCCGATGGCCGTCCTCTTCGCCTCGATGAACGCCTACGTCGGCCCCGCCACGCTCTGCAAGCTAGCCCAAGAATGGGGTGTCGAGTCCGCCGCCGCCCCCGGCTCGGAAGTCGACCCGGGACTCCTCCAGTTCTCCAAGCTCAAACCGGGAAGCCAGCTCCCTACCGCGACATCGGCGCGCCCGAACGATGACCAGAATTACCGCCGTGGTCTGAGCAGTCGTGTAGTCTACGATGACGAGTTCGGTGACGTGGTCAGCAAGTTCTCCCTTGCTGAAGCGCAGACCTCGGAAGCTGCACACTCGAACTTCGTGCGCGCACTCGTGGGAGCAGTGTACATGCACAACGGCCGCGCAGCCGCAAAGGCGTTTATCCGCGCGCACGTCCTGTCGCGGCACCTCGCGATCGAGAAGCTGTTCGTGTTTGAGACGGCGACGCGGGATCTGTCGCGGCTGTGTGCGCGTGAGGACTTTGAGTTCCCCGTTGCTAGGCTGCTGAGCGAGACGGGCAGGAACAGCAGACATCCGGTGTATGTGGTGGGGATTTTTAGCGGGAAGGATAAGCTTGGTGAGGCGGCGGGGGCGAGTCTGGGGGAGGCGAAGACGAGGGCTGCGATTGCGGCGTTGAAGGCTTGGTATATGTATTCGCCCGTTGCTGGGCAGGGGATGAGCGCGCCGGTGCCGAGTGATGTGGAGGAAGGGGGGAGGTGGGAGGGGGCGCATATTGATATGGGTGAGATTGTGGCTTGTTAGATGGGGAAGGGGGGGGTTTGTATGTATAGGCTGTATGATGGGTTTGCGGGCATGGGAATGGGGGAGACTTCGTGTATTGGACTACTACTAGCGGGAATTGGGGATGGGGAGATGGCAGCGTTTTTGGGCGCATGCTGGGTGTACTATTTGTGGATAGTTTGTACAATATACTGGCTCATGTAGAATTCAATGCACACCTCTCGAACATGAACATACATTCTTCACTTCACAAGTGCCAACTTCAACCATATATCATCCATAACGTCCAAAGATCAAATGATGTATGCGGGCATATCAAACGCAAGATTTCACGCCACCGATATAACAAAGCCCCCCAATATCCCATCCATATCTCTCATACAAATGCTACCATTCCTAAGATGCTGGTAGCTATATAGAACCACCCTCTCGATACCCAAACGCCCAGCAAAGTATTTTTGAGGCAAGCAAACGAAATGCATCCAAATGAAAACCGTCTACGAGGACGCAGCTGGCGCCTCCTTGGTGTCAACCTTCTTAGCCGGTGCCTGTCCTGCTCCTCCGTCATCCTCGCGTGCGCGCTTGTTGCTCTCGCCTCCTTCCGCCTTGGCAGCACTATCATTCAGTCAGTACAAATCTCGAGGATTAATTGGGAATAGTTCCACTTACGCCTCCTCGTTTCTGTTGTTATCCGGACGTGGGCCCCTGGCCTCACGGTTGGGGTTTCCACCACGTCCGCCACGTCCTCCACGTCCACCGCGTCCACCACGGCCTCCACGACCTCCCTTGTTATCCCTGAATCCGTGCCTCTGGTCATCAGAACGGCGCTTCTTCCAGTCATCTTGATCGCGGTCACGGCCACCGCGGCCACCGCGTCCACCGCCACGGACCCTGGTCTCCTTTGGCTTCCTCACGCCATCCGCAATCTCCTTGTTGCACTTGATGACGTACTCGGCCTTGGACATGATCTCAAGCTCCTGCTCGCCCTTCCACTTCGGCTTGGGGTCCAGCGCAAGGAACGTCTTGGCCAGCTCCTCGCTCGCGAACTCAACGTACACGGAGCCCTTGAAGGCCTTGGTGTCGTCGTCGCGGCGGAGGCGGACAGCGTTGGTGGGGCCGTACGTCGCGAAGAAAGCCTCGATGTCGAATTGGGTGGTTGCCTCCTCGTCGCCGAAGCCCTTGGCGTAGACGGAGCGGGCCTCCTTCGCCTTGGATAGCTCAGCGGCTTCGGAGCCTTGGTTCTTTCTAAGTGCTACCTTGCGCTTGACGACCTCCTCGCCCTCGGCGCCGCTGACTTCGACGACGGATGAGGTCTTCAGCGCCTCGACGATGGCCGAGTAGGGCTGGAAGCGCTTCATGCGCCCGAACTCGTGGACTTTCTTCAGCGATACGGGCTTGTTCTCGGAGCCGCCGGTCAATTCTAGCATGAAGTCGTCGGTTGGGAGGTTTGAGTCACCGAAGTAGAAGTCAACCTTCAACCCTGTCAGCATTCGTCAAGGAACTAGAAAAGGGTGAGTCGCATACCTGTGCGCGGATCTCGGACGGGTTGTCCGTGATTGGGAGCTTAGATGGGTCGAACTTGCTCTTGCTCTCGTATCTCTTGAAAACGCGTGGTCCTCTGTCCTGGCCGTTGCGCTGGTTTCCTCCCTTCCTGTCGGAGCTGTCCTTCGCCTCCTCTCCATTCTTCTCGGCGCCATTGGCAGCGGTCTCAGTAGCAGCTGCTGCAGGGGCAGCATCCGCTGCCGGTGCAGCCTCAGTCTTCTCTGGCGCAGCTTCAGTCGCCGCTGGGACTTCTGTAGGCGCCGAAGTTGCGACGGGCTCCTCCACCTTGGGAACCTCAGGAACGGAATCCGACATATTAATTAGCTTGTTGAGGGATTGGCCGGCAAACAATTGATATATGTATTCTTTAATATAACTTGTAGGTTATATTAAGTCGATGTTGGAATGACGGATGCGGTGATGAGGGAAAAGGCGGGGTGAAAGGTTGATAACACGCGGTACAACCTGCACTGTCTTTTTGCTTTCTTGTCAAGAAATAATCCTGTTAAGCAAATATAAGTATGCCGTATAAAATATATGTGATTTGAAGGGATTGACGTACAAGAATGGCGACAGAGTGGTTATGAGTGTTTTAATGCTCTGAGTAAAATGCAAGGCTGGTGACCAAAAGTTCGACAAAAGAAATCGAAGAGCTGCCTCGCTTGATGGGCAAGGCTGCAAATTCCGCAAAAGCTTTCCGCCGCCCTCCGCTGCCTCCGCTCCGCTCCGTTCTTGGCCGCTCCGCCCGCTAGACCGCATTGAGATTTTTCGAGGCTTGCATTTCGAGGTTGAAGCATCCCGAACGTCGTCTCGTGCTTGAATTGGGTCTTGACTTGCCGCGTGCTGCTTCCAATTCCCGCAGTCCAGCACATACACATAGCTCATCATGAGGACAAAACGCTTCCATGGCCTCAAGTTGCCAGTAAGCTTCATTCCAGCCCCAACTTCCGCGTCTCCAAACGCTTCACCCGTGTGCGCCTGCTAACCATCTGAACCTGCCAGAAAATCCGCATGTCGATGAGCAAAAACAATCTCTACAACCTCTCTCAACAAAAACACGCCGCCGTTCGCGGCACCTACTTCCAGCAGAAATGGTTTGCGAAGAGGGAAACCCGCGCCTACCACGGCGAGCAGATCCGCGAGAAGAAGTGGCAGCGAATGTTTACGTCCCGCATCAAGTCCGTGATACCCATGCATCACAGATACATGGCCCGCTACGATGGATCTGAGCAGGCCGCCGGCCGCGGCTCGGGTCTTCAAACTGGTGAACCTTTGGATGCAAAAGCTCTTCAGATGAAACGAGGCAAAGTGATCCCCTACATGGGCATGACATATGCGCCAGTGGAGCGGAGACTAGACACTGCGGTTTTCCGTGCCCTGTTTGCCAGCAGTGCAAGGCAAGCACGACAGTATGTTCTGCACGGAGGCGTCAAGGTCAATGGCAAGAAGGTATGAGCAGCGTTAAGTTTCCACACAAGCCAATTACCGGCTAACAACAGCTCTAGATGACCTATCCCGGCTACCTCCTCAACCCCGGCGACATGTTCCAAGTCGAGCCCGACCGCGTCCTCTTCGCCACCGGCGCCCCCAAAGAAGTCGAGGACGTCCAGGCAACCAAAGCCCACCGCAAGCGTCTCGCCGCCGCGAAGGCCCCCCGCGAAGAGACCACCTCGGAAGAAACCTCTGAGGAAGCCACACCCGCCGAAGAGCCCGAGCTCGACGAAGCAGCCGTCGAGAAGAAGCAGCGCAAAGAGCACAAAGACAACCTCCAATCCCTCCTCGCCAGCGCGCGCGCCGTCCTCGCCGACAAGAGCGCCCACAGCCCCAACGCCAAGAAGAAGCAGGAGATCCGCGCCTTCGCCGCTGCCGTGCGCCGCGCAATCGGCGGCGTGAACCGCACCACCACCGAGGACCTCGACGCCCAAGTCGCCGAGCTGGTGTCCAAGCTCTCCCTCGCCAACCTGCCCAAGGCCAAGCCGGCTGCTGCTCCGACTTCCGGAACCGTCGATCCGTCGCTGGAGGCGCAGGTCGTGGCTACCAAGGAGTCAGCTGTTGAGAAGGCGCCTGCGGCGGACCGCCAGACGCTCGCGGAGGCGCTGCGTGAGGTCCGTGAGAACCCGATCGATCCGAGTAAGCCGTATGCGACGCCGTGGAGGCCGCGTCCGTATATGTCTGCGTTTGCGTTTGTGCCGAGATACCTGGAGGTTAACCATAATATCTGCGCGGCGGTGTACTTGAGGCATCCGGTGGCGCGACCGGGAGTTGCGGAGGTGCCGTCGCCGTTCTCGTCAAAGAGCTCGACACTGGCTTATAACTGGTACTTGAGACGGAGGTAGATGGGGATAAGACAGGGGAGGAGAATGTGGAGTGGAGGGATGGATATATGGGGTAAGATAGTTTGGGGGGTGAGCAGTGTAGCGTGCATTTGTATCATAGGTGGGGTTTGTGCAATGTTTCGAACGTGTATGATTGGGGTATTGAAATGAGATAAAATGTATTTCTATATAGAAATGTACAGCTCTTCTAAGTTATGGCAATTCCTAAAATTCTGCTAAGTGTCGAGGGTTTCTTTGATCATGAGGACCTGGTCCGCAAGGCCGAGACACGGGACCCTCATCTACCCTTCAACAGTTTCTTCACACTCGAAGCACGATATCGTTTACGGTAACCAGAAGATATTTAATAGAGAAAGACTTTCAATTCCAAACATATGTTCATAAGACCCTAAGGTAACAGATGGAAGCGCTCTGCTATCCATCACTCAAGATACTATCCAGACACCCAACGCCAAAAATCGTATGCATGTCCTGCAAGCAAGGACAGTAAATATGCAAACCGCTCTCCTTAAATATAATCCGCTTCGCCCTCCCCTTCATGCAAATCATCACTCAACCCCTTCAACCCCTCAGCTCATCCCATACGTCCATCCACCCTCTCTCCTCAGCCTCTCCCTCGCAACCAAATCGCGTTGAATCTCTTCCTCCGTCAACCTATCAGTCCCGCTCCAGTTGGCACTGCTAGTCCTCTGCCTAAACTTCCCCCAGCGCTCCTTGTTCCTAAAGACCTCTTCCATCCTCAGCTCCCCTGGTGCTCCAAACACACTCGTCGGGTCACAGCCCTCCTGCGCCATGATACCGGCTGCAAGGTTAGGGCTGTTCGCCCATTCGGGAACCGCGAAGTCACCGCCTGCATCCGAGTCCTCGTCTTCAGAGTCCGTGTGGATCTCAGGCAACTCGATGTTCTCGCCGTTCATGTATCGCGGTGACGACTTAGCCGAAGGCTTCGAGGTCGACTTGCCGTTGGGGTGGCCAGGGCCAAGAGGACGCGCAGGAGTCTTGTGCGCGGGGTTGGGTGCGAAGTTGATGGGTGCCTTGGAGGTCTGTGTCATGTCCATGGGGCGGGTAGGCTTGGATTGCATGTGCTGGGGGATTGCGTTGTGGACAGTGGTGTGCGAAGATGGTGCGGCAGAGTAGCCAGTTGGGAAGAGAGACTTCATTGGGATATCCTGAAAATTGGTTAGCTTAGTCTGGAGAGGTTCTGTTGAGTTGCACACCTTTTGACGAATGGTTGACTGCCTAATTGGAGGAGCCATTGCTCCCCTAGGCTGAGTCTCCATGGCATCATCAAGGAACTCGTCCTCGGTCTTGCGTCGCTTCGAATCATTTTGGTGATAAGAAGGCCCGTTCCGCGGCATAGTTGGACGGGATTGAGCTTCGTCAGCAGGCATTGGGCGCTTCGGCGGTGCCTTTGTTGTATTCTGGAGAGTGTTCATTCTGCTCTCTTCTTGGGGCCTCTGCATGGTAGGGTTCATGCGATGAACTGGCTCAGGCTCCGCCGCACGATGGGTGGCAGGAAGCGGCTTGTCGGCATGTGGGTTCGGGCGAGCAGGTGGCGGAGGAGGCCTGTTGAGTTTTGCCTTTTCCAACTCCTGCTTCTTCTCCAAAGCACGCTGGGCATTGCGCTTTGATTCAAGTTGGCTTGTCAGCTCAGCTTTGGCGTCACGCTTCCGCTGTGCCTCTCGCTCATCCTGCTCCCTCTTACGGGCAGCGGCTTCCAAAGCCTTGACTTTCGTTGTCGTTGATGACGAAACGCTCTTCAGGCTATCAACAGATGCCTTTGGGTGGAGACCTCTGACAGGTTGCTTGGCTCTGGATGGTCCAGCAACAGGTTGGGGAGCAGCCGGAGGCAGCGAGTCGCCAAGAGAAGCAGCCAATGCCGCGTTGGATGGCTGGAATGGGCGGGATCCAGTGTTAACCCGAATGACAACGGGCGCACCACGAGAATTGGTAGGTGGCTGCTTGGCGGTAGGTCTTAATGGACGCTTGACTGGCTCCTTGGGCCTTCCAATTTGCGAACGACTGAGGGATTGGGGTATCGACGAAGCTTCCGTCATCTCGACATTTTCATCCGCATATTCAGCAGCAGCGGCGGCAGCCTTGCCTTCTGCTTCAAGCTGTGCCTTTGTCTTTCGTGGACTCGTTCTCGTAGCGCGTGGCACAGGTGCCTCACGAGCCAGAGCCTCACGTTCCAAAGCCTTTCTCTCTTCTTCCTTCTGGATGGCAGCTAGCCTCTCCTGCTCTTGTTGCGCAGCAATTCGTCGATCTTCCTCTTTCTGTGCAGCAAGCCTCCTCTCTTCCTCCTTTTGAGCGGCGGCTCTTCTCTCCTGTTCCTTCAGTTCCTTCTGTGCAGCCACCTTGCGTTCCATCGCAGCAACTCTTTCACGTTCTTGCTGTGTAAAAAGTCGGGCCTTCTCAGCCTCCTTCTCGCGTTCTCTATCCAGCTTATTCAGCTGTTGCACCATGACTTCAGCGTCTCTCACTTCCTTCTCCTTCGCCTTGCGTATGGTAGCCTTCTTAGACGGGCTCTCTGGTATCAAGCTCTGGCTACTGGGCTGAGTCTTGAGCGACGGGTAGATGGAAGTTGCGTGTGTTGATTCCATAAGATCGGCCATTGACCTTGACGCTTGGTAGGCCATTCTTCCAGGCGGTGGTGACAATGTTGACGCCATAGCATCTGCACTGGCTGCAGCGCTACTTGCAAAGAGTCCCTTGGAAGTCTTCAAAATTGACGAAAGCTTGTCCTTAGCCGCCTTCAATGGGCTCTCGCGATAACTTTTTGTAGGCGACTTAGGAGGTGATTGCTCGCCGCCAGGATTCGGGTTCGAAACTGAAATGGTCTTCTTGAGAAGCTCCTTATCATCATGTGCCTTGTTTGGAGACCGGATAACAGACGTAGATTGGGACTTTGCGTGGCCGAAAAGGCCATTCGGACGGTGCTGAGCGACTTCTCGTAATGGAGAAGGCTGGCGTGTTTCACGCTGCTTTGGGACGTTGAATTCATGCCCACCAATGCTCTCTTTGCCGCGAATGTCTTCCATCACTTCTGTCGTATAGCTCTTCGTTAATGCAGGTCTCGGGCTGAACGACTTCGATGGGGCAGCTGTGGTTGGCGGCCCAATCCAGGAGTCTTCATCTTCTGGGAACGCTCCAGGTGCGTTAAACGCGCGTTCAGTTCGGCTTGGGGATGCTGCCGGGCGAGATTCTTGCTGTTGAGCAGCCATGGCGGCAATGTTAGGAATCGACTTCGATGGTCTAGGCGCATTCGGTTTTGATTGCCCCAGCATACTGATTTGGTCTTGCAGACGCTGAGTGTACGTCTTATTAAAAGCCTGTGCTGCTTTTGAGGCAGGCTCTGCCGCTGGCTCAGCAGCGTCTACGTCCATCTCATCCTCCTCTTCGTTCCCGAAGCCTCTGTCATCGTTGCCTCTTCCATAGTAGCTCGTTCGGTTTTGCTCCAGATGGCTTGGGCGGTTGCCCATGCTCTTCTTCGTTGTCAATGGCTCCCGTGCTGGCAGCGCGGCAAAACTAAGACTGCTTTTGCGAACAATTTGTCTGACCGGGCTCGAGCCATCCGATGGTGTCGCAGCCTCGTCAAATACTTCGGCCTCTTTCTGCTCGGTCCCAGGCAGCTGGGGTAGCTCTTTTTCTAGCAAAGCAGGCGCAGCCGTTTCTTGGGACTTCAGTTCAGGGGATTCCGGTCGAGCCTGCTCGGGCGAGTCGAAATTCATCTCCAAGGGTTGCTTTGGGGTTGGGGCAGTGTCCGTCGCAACCTTTTCCATCGCGACCTGCATAGTCTGCTCTTCTTTTGCAGATTCATACGAGCCTTCGGTTGTCCTCCGCTCTTCTGATTGCACATCATCCACTACTGAAAGGAGATTGGCTTTGGCGGGTGTCCTCGATGGACTCCATGGCTGTGTGAATGGTTGTGTTGCCTCTTGCGTAGCCTCTTGAGACTCAAACACCATAGAGGCAGCCGCCTGGGTAGATTGGCTGCCATGGTAACCCGAATCCTGAAATATGTTGTTGCCTGCCCGTGCTGGTTTTGGCGGCACTGCGAAATCGGCTTGTGGTACAGGCAAGTCTTCTGCGACCTTGAACTTAGGAGCTTGGCGCTCGTTGTAAACCTGGCGCAAGGGACTTCCATTTCCGTTTTGTCGCGGTGATGCCGAGAAGATGTCGGAAAGAGGCTATAACAGTCAGTCAAGCCCAATATTCCACGAAGCATATGTATTCACCGCTCTCACTTCCAAGGGATTCCGCTTCCTCGCTGTCCGCGGCGTTTTGCCACGTAATTTTCCAGGCGTCTTAAACATCTCTGTGACATTCCTGCGTTCGCGTTAGCAATCGAACTGCCGGCGCAAAAGCCACGTCAACCTACATCTGATTCTCATTGAATATCTCCGCCATGTGCTCGTTCAACCAGTCCAGCTCGTTACGTGCAGAGAAGGTAAACTCCTCCACTTCCGCATCTGCAATCTGCACCGCAGATGACCTCTCCTCCGCCACCCATGCTGCTGATCCGACCTGAAGTCTCGTAGTTAAGCGTCCGGTGGCCATCTTGACGGGATGTAAACAAAGGTTATATGGGCTCTATTCTTCGACGCGCGCGCGGCTTTTCGAATTGTAAAGCTGTAGAGTCGTAGCGTCACAGCATCGCAATGATTTCGAGCTGTTGTCGATTGTTGATAGTCGTTTTTCGTCGAGTATATCGCTGTTTTGTCGTTGTTGAATGGTGGTGAGGCCGGTTTGTTTTGGTCGCTGCTACCCTGGCATACGCGAAAGGTGGGACGCGCTAGTGCAGTTGCCTCACCACGTGACTCGATACCTCAAGACGAGCTGAATTCAAGGAGCTGAGAACTGAGAACTGAGAACAACACAACCAACACCAGCCTGTCGTACGATAACATCAACAACTTGAGGTCAACAGCCCACGATGGCTGCTTGTATATTAATCCTAGATATTTGTTAAGCGGCCTAGGAATTTATACAAAATGAAAGTTAATATATAATTGGTATATTTATTGAATTGTAAATTATGCAATTATTATTGTGAATATAACTAAGATTATGTTTTATCAGTATAATTACTAGATCAACTTGTTTAGTAGAGGTGAACTTCTTTCCCATAAATCGTATCTGGGACCCTAGTTCCTTAGTTACATGTAGCTAATGTTATTCGAGCATACGCAACCTGTTATTGTTAAAAATGGAGGGTTTGCGTCTATTGTACCAGCCGGTTTTCGTATATTGTCATGGTGACGTTATTGATGCTAGTCTTGTCGTAGCTGATTACGAGACCTCTTAGACGTATATGTACAGTGCGAATGAACACAGTAGACATCAATCCTTAAAGATAATATCCTTTATCGATCCTATAGAGAATATCATTTCTAACCCATGGCACCCAAGGATAGCGACTTCCACGTCCTGTTGACAGGAGCGAACGGCTTTGTAGCCTCGCATATACTAACGATCTTGCTCGCGGTAAGTGAATATCGCTCCTCTTAGGGTCGGCAGTCAAGGTCATATATCTGATGATAGTGCTGTTGCTAGCGTGGATATGCTGTTACTGCGACAGTGCGCTCAAAGGAAAAGGCCGCTGAGATCGTAAGAACCCACCCCTCATGGGAGGGCAAGATTGAATTTGCAATTGTCGCAGATTTCACCTCAGCGAAGCCATTTGACGAACTGTTCATTAATTCGAAAATTCCTTTCACCCATATAATCCACACGGCATCCCCCGTGAACTTCCGACTCGAAGATATTCAAAGGGAAATTATCGAGCCAGCCGTAAGAGGGTAAGCTACGTGTGACTTCCTTACGGCCTAGACCTAATTAACATGCTCTATCTGCAGGACCACAGAGATTCTCAAGAGTGCCCATCACCACGGTGGCGCAAACCTGAAACGTTTCGTCCTGTTAGGAAGCGCAGTATCCGTCTTGAACTCATTTGAGGATATCACGCAGGAAGGCCGGCCCTATACTGAGAAAGACTGGAACCCGGTACGGGCAACTACACGCAGGGCACCAAGGTTCGCCTCACTGACTAGGCATAGGTCACAGCTGAGGATGCCATCGCCAGAAAGGACGTGGTTCTCGGATACAACGTCTCTAAGATACGAGCGGAGTCTGCGGCTTGGGAATTTATGAAATCAGAGTCGCCTTGTTTTGACCTTGTCGTCATTAATCCGGATATCATTACTGGACCAATGACGCACCCGATTTCTGGCCCCAAGTCTATTAACGAGACAAATCACTTTGCGATCGCTAGCTTTATTGACGGAACCCATCAGCAGGTTGAAGGGGTGACGTTTCCGTTCTACCACTTCGTAAGCTCTACTGACCTATGGTTTCCCCCCTTTCCCTCCCGCCCCCGATCTAATTATTATGACAGGTGGATGTCCGCGATGTGGCTCGAAGCCATGTTGATGCTTTGACAAACACCAACGCCAGCGGGCAGCGGATTCTTCTAATCTCAGGCCTCATCTCGCCGCAATTGGTCGTAAATATCATTAGGAAGAATTTTCCTGCCCTGCGGGATAGGGTCCCTAAAGGAAACCCGTCGCAGGTCCTCCCGCTAGGAGTGCATCCGACCGGATGGGATACGCAGCTGAGTCTGGAGATTCTTTCCAAGGGAACAAAGGAACGACGCTGGGAGTATATTGATCTAGAGACTAGTGTCACTGACACCGTTCGAAATATGATAGAGGCGAAGGTAATCTAGTCGCAGGCCCTAAGGGCGTTGCTCTGCTTTCTGGATTCGTTACGTTTTTTGAGGTAAAAAGTTCTTTATAGCGCTATAAATATCTAACTATACCCGAAAAAAATCGCAATTAACAATCACGTCACAAAACCGAACATCGACAAATGGAAGCCATGGGTGATAATATCCGTATATTTTACTTTTTATTCGAAGAAGGCGGCAGAGAGAGGTTGACCGTGCTTTGTTCTGGTTTTGCTTTTACTTTCATGGATGTCACAGGATGTGCTGGGAAGGAAAGCCGAGAATAAGGGCATCGGTATGGAGGGCTGCTATTCGTTTCTCAACACTGTATGCTTTGCTGCCACCGGACCCTGTTGTCACCGGCTGTTGCTGTTGTCGCATTCCTCTTACTGTCGTGCCGCTGTACTGTTACAAGACTCCCATATTCTCAGGTACATGCCTGGTGCTCCACTAATATCTCCGCGAACTCTGTGAGGAAGATGAGGATAATTGAATCGCCGTGTATGGCCCGGCCCCTTACTTTCTATGAAACCATTGAAAGACTCATTCACAGATATACCTGCGCTTGTCAGCCCAACTCCGACCCACTTATGATGTGATGTGAGAGGGGCTATGGGCGAGGGGCAACATAGCAGAGGCCGACGCAAGGAATGAAAAAAATTGCCGGGAGCTACACGTACAATTCTGTCTTCCATATAATACAGATGTTGGAGCCAAAGATGGAAACTTTTGGGGTTCTCTCATTCCCTTAGACTCCCACCCGCAAACCACCCTGACAACTGAGCCGATATCATATATACCGCAGGTTTTCAAAAAATAAAACGTTTGAGGTGGCCGAGCTCTATTGCCCGAACCCAACACGTAATATTATCTATTATCTATTATATAATCGCGTACTAGATAAACAGAGAATGTGATTATTGGATCCTATTCCCATCTACAGGAATAGCATTGCAGACGCAGCAAGAAAAATTGCAACACCATTGAATATGACAGTCGCTTGTGGCGCGCTGTTGGGTACAGGAGTAACGCTCTCTGTAGATGAAGCCTCGGAGGCGCTTGAAGACGAAGCCTCGTCAGGAGTTGAACCCTTGGTAGTGCTGTCCGGAGTCGAAGCCTTGCTGGTGGTTTCCGAAGTTGACGACTTGGTGGAGTCGCTGGCGGCGGTAGGAGTAGCAGTTGGCACAACAGAAGATGAAGTAGTCAGCTTAATGCCGCAGACTTTCTCCACGTCGAAAGTAAATGGGATGTTTCTCCCTGCGCAGTTTGAGGTGTGGCGCTCGAGAGCGTCTAGATAGTACCAAACAATTAGCTGCAATTCGGCGTAGGTGACAATAAAGGATAGCAAAAACGAAAGAAAGTTTACATACCGGGAAAGACTGAACTGGGGCAGTTCTTGTTCGTGGCCATGCAGCAAAAGTATCTCTCACGATACTTTTGCTGGTTGCACATGCATGCTGGGTCATCTGTACAGGAACCGCCTGCAAAGCTATTGAAGAAGCAGTCGTTCTAATGAGGACGAAACATATTAGCTACTAAACTCATAGAACTCGGACGTCGATATATAGGTGCAAGGAAGATTGTTACTCACGTCGCAATCCGATGCAGCCTCAGCAGTGTTGGTAGGAACGGGAGGAGCGTAGGTGGTAGTCAGGGTAATGCCGCAGACCTTCTCCACATCGAATTCGTAAGGCAAGTTTCTGGTTTCACATGCCAAGGAAGTCCGTATGAGGGCCTCTGGATAGACTCTAGGGGCGCAGTTCTCTGCCATACAGCAAAGGTATCCCTCACGATGCTCCTTCTGGTTGCACAAGCACCCTGCGTCATCTGAGCACATATTGGTAAAGTACTTTGAGAAGCATCCATTCTAATGAGGAAGAAATATATTAGCTACACTAAGCCCATAGCACTTGGGAGAGTTGGTATGTAACCAAGTGCATGCATGATAGTTACTCACATCGCAAGTTGCGTCAGCATTTTGCGTCTCCTGGTCGTATGGTTCCCTTGCAACGGCGAGAGTGCTGCCGAGGAGGCAGAAGAGCATTAACGAAGTAGACAATCGCGCCATGATGATTAATTATAATATTAATTAAAAATAAATAATAAAAATGAGTGAATGACGACTATCAGCGAGTGAATGGTGAGATTAACGAGTGACTGTGGGGTTGACAAGGCGGACGAGGGGCGGACGAGGTTGAGGTCTGTCAGAACTAACCCAGGGGCAAACGATAAAAAGAGTCGCGATAACTCGGTATTATACAGTGACTAAACTATATTTCCGCCATTTAACACTAACGCCCTGCCAAGTCGACGCCAATACCTGTCAGTGGAATCGAAGTGTAACCAACAAATGAACGGCGCGGAAAGAGATTACTGCGGCGAAGCAAATACGAATGAGGCAAGTCCGAGTCTATACGAGTCCGACTCTATACGAACTGTCGATCTCCCCTCACGTGCACTACGCTACCCATGGTCATGTGATGCGATACACGTGAGAAGTTCTTTGTGGAGTTCTACAACAGAGTAGAAAACAAATTCTTAATTATTTTTCCACTTTGAAGCATATTCTACCTCGCATTGTAACGTTGTAGCCGCAGCGGGGAGGGCGGCTGGTGTTGCTTAGCTTGCTTATTGTATAGCATAGCGCAGGAACAATCAACCGAGTGACAGGAACGTGGGCCAAGGGATTCGCTCACTGGCGATGATTGGCAATGTCAAAGTCGTCATTGGCAGAACGCCCAGAATTGAAGCAACGCCGCTAATATGCTAAGCTAATTTATATATAATGATCTACTGTCTTATCTGCTAGATGCAGTTATGCTGCCGCTTCACGTGGGGGTGAATGCTATCCCCAACCTCGAGATTGACGAATTATCACATTTCCTTGTCGCCCGTGCCGATCGTATGCAGGCGTGGTGTTCGTGGGGGAGGACAGCCCCTCATGTCGGAATGTCGGAATGTTCGAGGCCGTGACGGGACGCAGAGCAATTCCTGGTTGGAGACAATGAGCGTGTATTCCGAGCCACGTTCTGACGCTTGGAGAAAATATGCTACCTTGCAATGCAGCGATCGCCAGAAAGTGATAGGGATCATCGAAGCGGGAGCTTCTAGAAGTATGCTGAAGCATAGTTGCATATTGAGGGCTCGGAAGAAAGTTGCCGATGAGATATGGGACCATGGAGCAATCGTTGTTGAGGATAACTATATAAAGTGAGAAGAATCCTCCTCAACGACCTAGGAAACAATCCTCCCAAGGCATCTACTCTATTCATCTGAAAATTACACCTCAAAATTCACAAGATGAAGGTCACCGCTGCTGTCTTTGGGCTCCTTGCCTTTGCAGCTACCATTGAAGCTGCCCCCAAGACCAACAAGGCCGGTTCGGAAGCATCCATCGCCAACCTCAAGGACAAGATCAAGAATGTTGTCCTCATCACCATGGAGAATCGTTCGCTCGACAACCTCCTCGGTGGACAGAAGACCAAGGGCATTGAGAACTCCGTCAACAATGGCCCATACTGCAACCCCCTCAACCTCACGGACACCTCTAAGGGCAAGGCATGCAGTAAGCCCAAGGACTACGATTCCATCCTCAACGACCCCGATCACGGCGTCCCAGGAAACAATATTGAGTTCTACGGCACCTTCTTGCCAGACAACGCTGCCATCCAGGCAGGGAAGCTTAAGCCTACGATGAACGGTTTCGTCCATGAACAGCTCCGTCTGTACTCTGCTAAGCAAGACCAATCGGTCCTTGCTAACCAGGTCATGAACTACTACACTGAGGAGCAAGTTCCCGTCATCACTGGCTTCACCAAGGAGTTTGTTACCTTCAACAACTGGCACTCTGGCCACCCCGGCGTAAGTGATAAACTCCATAAGAAGCTTCCCATATTCTAACCCTCATCCCAGCCAACCAACCCCAACAGAGCCTACATCGTCTCAGGAACCTCCGCCGGCCACGGAACCAACGACGCCGACTTCGGCAAGAGCGCTCTAACCCAGCACTCCATCTTCGAGCAGCTGTCCTCCCAAAACATCACCTGGAAGAACTACGCCACCGTCGCCGGCGGCGGCGACGCCATGTACTTCGCCTCCACCGTCGCCAGCGGCGACTCCAAGACGAAGATGAAGTCCCTCAGCGAGTTCTACCAGGACGCCTACCTCGGCCGCCTCCCGCAATTCACCTACGTCAACCCCTCGTGCTGCGGTGTCGGAACCAACTCTATGCACCCCACTGGCCTCGTCTCTGACGGAGAGGTCCTCCTCAAGCAGATGTACGATGCCATCCGCAATGGGCCGCAGTGGGAGAACACCCTCTTCATCGTCACTTTTGATGAGACTGGAGGTTTCCATGACCACGTCGCGCCACCGCTTGCGCCGCGCCCAGATAACCTGACTTACACCGTCGCTACCCCTGATAAGGATCAGTACACTTTTGAGTTTGACCGTCTTGGAGGCCGTCTGCCAACCTGGATCATCTCCCCTTGGGTCGCTTCGGGGTACGTTGAGAAGCTTGGTGTTAACAGCGATGGCGAGACTGTGTCGTACAGTGCTACGTCGATCTTGAGGACTCTTGGGTACCTGTGGGATTTTGCGCCCTTCACGCCGCGTGTTGAGTGGTCGCCTTCGTTCGATCACTTGATCTTGGAGAAGACCAACAACAAGGCGAAACCGCAGGTGATGCCTAACCCAATCAAGTTTTAGATGGCGGATGAAGATGATGATGTGATGGTGACAAAAAAAGGTGCAGTGTGCTGGATTTATTGAATTCATGTTTTACACTTATATGACCTTTTATTTTCAATAAAGTATCTTATTAATCATAAAATACTCTCATGCTTGTGGAAACTGTTCATGCGATGTTAATACCGACTCTGGTAGTTCGGGCGTACGGAATCATTCCTGGAAGCGCATATAATGACAATAGGACGCCACCCTGACCACCATGGTGTGTGTATTGCGGAAACACACCAGCGTTGAGGTCATAGCCCTTTGATACTTTGGATGAAAATTACTATACAACAGTTTAGCCAGCGAAGGCGGGAATCCCATCCCCTTGAGACCGTGACTCAGCCCATTTCTGGCGGTGAGAACGTCGTCAAAAATATAAAGGGCAGTTACCGCCATAACATTAGAGACCTAACAAATATTTATGCAGCTTGAACCGATTCTAGGGACCGTCTTTTTCTATCTCGTTCTCCTGTGACGCTCAATTGTGTTGTATTGAGCTGGTATTGTTTGATCGTTAAAGTCGAGAAAGGGGTAAGAGAGGGGAGAATGGCCTAGATTTAACGATGATGTGATGATATGGGAGGGGGGTGGGATGGAAAGTAGTATATATGCCCCGTCACAGAAGGATAATCACATACGGCCATAGACTGAAGAGAATCGGGCATCCCGTCCGATCTGCCACACACAAGCTTGTAATCCACTTGCTTATTACTATCAATCGTGCCAATAGGCATAGCGTGGAATTTGAGCCCCTTGCTGCCTTAAGGGTGATCTTGGGGTGCAGCGAAGGTGGGCAGGGTGAGTTGACGGGTGAGTGAGTAGGGTGAGCGGGGTGAGGTGGCAACGTTTTGCTGTCAATTTTGTGCCGTTTTTAGCTTACGTACCTTGTTCAGTTGCCTTGCTCTTATCTTCTATAATCCACTACGTAAAAAAGTGCAGAGCCACATTAGGATCACAATAGAAATGATCAGCACGTGATCAAATCCGTGTTCACCATTGCTGGCACACGATCGGGCTTGACCTAAGTGTGCTACGGGTTTATTAGGGTCAGCACGCAGTATGTAGCACTTCTACTGCTCTAGAACACCTCGTGTGCTAGTACAGTTAGGTCAGCACGCAAGGCGTGACAAAACACATGTGTACTTCATAAAAATGTCTTGAGATTGTTGGAGATTCCGGGGATGATCCAGGATTTGCCCAAGAAATGGCCCTATTTTTGGGCGTTTCCCAGGCGGCTCACTTGGTCTCAGCTGGGCAGTTGAAGTGAGACCGACCAAAACTCAGGGTTTTGGCCACCCCCAGGAATCAGGTATATAGTCACGTAGCCCAGTAAGATAGGTAGATAATTAAATCAATTCTATATGTTCTATATGTTCTATATCACCCGTTTTTGGGTGTGGAACGCCGTATTCCCCATTAATCCCTAGTAGAGATATCCTCTGCCTCAGCTACACCAGCTTTACACTAGCTTTACGCCAGCGCCATGTCACCGGCTCTTGAAAGGGCTAGCTTCTAGACATGATAGTTCTTATCAATGTCTACCTGGTCGATAATTGTCCTCGTTGTGAAGTCGACCACGCGAGCCCATAGACTCCATGTCCACCTCTTCAACTGCGGCCGCTTTAGGCTTGGGGCCATTTCCTCTAAGATACAACCAGTCGCCCACGGCAATGTAAGCTCCAATTGTAGACACGAGACTATGACATTCATTAGATCTAGACTTCAAAATGACGAGCGTAACTGAGTAGGAAGAATTGGGGAGATAGCACATACCTGATGGCCACAGCCAAGGGAACTAAGACCCAACTCAAAATACAAGTCGTCCCTACACATCTCTTTATAATCCCCTGAACGGTGAATGCCACAACTGCCGGCCAGGCTACAACTTCTATACAGCTGAGAATCATGTTCACCTTTAACCTCTCTTTCAAAAACTTGGTGTGTCCGGAGACCAGCTGGTATGTAATGAACATAAGACTCTTTGCTCCCTATTTGCACCTCACTTGTCAGTCCATGAACTTTTGCAGATGCGTTCAGCAATCAGGAGGTGGAAGGATATATAACTTACCATGCTAAGTGCAATCTGCCCTGACATGCTCCGGCGACCACCATTCCCAGTAACACCACTAGCAGCGGCTGCCGCCTTCATCTGCTGTTGGGTAAGTATCATGCGGCCGCCTGCAATTCCAGTAACGATTGCCGCAAGGGCGAGAGCCACCAGATGGCACCATAGCTTGATTTTGTGACGGGTTTGAAATGAGCCTTTCATCCAATTCATCGTTGCAGTTGCCGAATGGATTTTCTAATTGATTTAGCGTGACTCTGGGGAGCTTGTGTAGCCTCTTCTGGGGTTGTTGGATAGAGAGTAAGAGAGTTGAGGTTGTAATGATAATTGAGGCAATGAGACTCGGGCGAGTCGATGCCTAGTTATATAATCAAAGATTGTTGAGGCTTAGCAACAGTGTGCGTTACAGCCAAGAAACCTACATGCTAGCTGAATCATGCTGTCTTACTGTATACCGAATTTTAAGATAAAATAGGTATAGAGGACCTCAGCGTTCGTCACTTCAATGCTCTAATTAAAGTTTTTTGGTGATATCGAGTCGTCAGCACTCGGACTCGGACACTCGCACTCGTACTCGCTCGTACTCGCTCGCCAAGCTTCTGCCTCGTTTATAATGTAAGAAAATAGGACATAATACTCGTACGTGCGTACGTGCGTACGTGTAAGAGGCGCTAGGAATCAAATACAATTAAATAAAGGTCATTATGTAGGGTAGCGTTATAGTAGTTATAGTAATAGTTAGATTTTAGTGTTTTGGTAACTAGCTCGCCTCGGAAATACGTTATATATATATAAAATCTGCGACAACATCATAAAACTATTGTAACCATATATTAAGAGGAAGAAAAGAGGGTATAATCGCAAGCGGAATAAAACTCGGACATAAATGTAAAGAGATAGTAGCCGCCGCGTCAGCGATATGTGGAGGTCCAGTGTGCGATTCATTGTTTTACCATCCCATTCTCCGATCCAAACCAATCCCCACCACCCAGCTCGCCCGGACTTCCCCCTTTCCACAAGCGATCATCTCGGACAAAAAAATGGCTATGTATGAACCCGCCACAGTACCTGATCAATCCTCAATACACAAACCAAACGTGTCACACAGTCTATGGAGCGCCTGGGCCTCCGAACAGAGACAAAAATCCAGAGCCCGCCACAAGCGTGGTTGAGATTCCCTATCCCATTGGGGTTGGGAAGGGGGTGGCAGTGGCGGGGAGAAACGCTGACGGTGGCATGCATCTGCGGTGACAGCAGCAGGGGTTCAATGACAGGGAGCTTCACTGTTGGTTCTGCTTATTTGTGTGCATAGATACGTAACTCTCATCATTGTCCCCGTTAATAAACCCGAGGTCACTCTCTGACACATCTATCTTTGCCATCTTAAACATTATAGTAACTTCGACTGGACTACTGGGGACGTCAATGTGCTTATAAAACTTGTTTACATCTTGTCGACTTCTTGCGCCTCCAGAGTGCTTTTTATACTCGAAGCAGGTCATGCTACTACATCAGCACCAGGACAGAAACAATGCGATGACAGCCAGAATCCATACTTTCCTTTACTCTTGACTACCCTAGGAGATGAGCTCATTCTACATCGACATCTAAGCACCACCGCTCCCCCTCTTTCAAAGCCCACTAGCGCCCTACAGACCTGCTGGCGATGAAGAGAAGCAAACTCACCCTAGTTACCACTTACACCAGCACGAGCACTGATCGTCGACTCTGGAATCACATATATCTCACTCTTCCAGGTAAGAACCTTCTACCTGCTCGACCACTCCCTCCAACCTCAGTGAGGATGATGATCGTGGAGTCTACACAGCTGAATTTCATCATCACAACCACGTAACACCCCTTGAAGCTCCCCACCCCCGCCACCCCACCCTGGCTTCACATACACACATCATACACATCCAAACCTCAGCAACCAAGAGCCGTAACCAACTCCACACACTACACCAGACTTGACCAGCAATCTACACCCCATCTCTTACCCCGTCAACTAAACTAAGTCTCTAAGGCCCCTTCAGAACAAACTCCGCCACCGCTAACACCCACCAACACCCAAGAACACCCACCAGCACCCCCCTTCCTCCAGCCCCCTTACCAAACCAAGCCCCTCTTCCATCCCCAAACCCCCCTCCCCCTCCCCCGAGCCCCTCCACTACCGCACCCCCCAGCAACCGCTATATACTCCCTCCCCTTTCTCCCCCGAAACATTCAACTCACCAATGCTTTTACCACTTCACAAACACCTTCGCAAGTGCGTGTGAAGCTGGTGTGTGACTGTTTTGAGAACTGAGATGTGAGTGGGGTGTGGTGTGATGTGGTCTCGTACAAGGAGGTGTTGTGGTGGTGGTGGGGAGGAGTGTGGTGACGGTGGTGAGAATAGTGGTGGTGAGAATGGAGGTGGTGAGAACGGCAGCGGTAGTGAGAAATCGCCACAGCCCGCAGACGCTTTGTTAACTCCGCCGCCACGGACGCGATATTTCCACCCACATCACCCTATTGAACACACGCCACCCCCTCTCAGTTGACCCATCAAAAAGAATGGGCTCGGACCTGGAGTTGTTGTCGTGGATGTGGCGGTGGTATATATACTGACCCCATCTATCCACTTCAACCACCACTGCCCATTCTCGCGATCGTAGTGTGCTCCCCATGGCAGGACGACAGGATGAGCTGTTCACTGGTATGGGTAGAGTGCAGGGTTCGATATCACGCGGAGTACGATGGCATTTAGACAACTGCAATTTTTAGATCATAACTCATAACCCCCCACCCTCACCCCCCCTCAAAGCACATACATATAAAAAAAACAGACATTTATATTCACCCCCCCCCGCTCGAATCATATACAAAAAACCCCCCTTCCCCCCTTCCCCCCTTCCCTCCTTCCCCCCCAATCTCCCCCCTCAGACTACAAACAAACTAAATGCTAGAATAAACAAGAAAGACATATGCTATACACACGATTGATTCCTCCAACCCCGACCGCGACCGGTCCCTGACCGAACGAACCCGATAATCCCAAGTTGTACCCCCGTTGAACCCCGATTTGTGATGACCCCGTCCTGAGAACGCCGATGTAAAGTAAATGATGATGTGTGTGATGTGGTGATGTGTGTGATGTTGTTGTGGTGATGTTGTTGTGGTGATGTGATGTTATATGTGATGATGATGTAGGTGATGATAGTAAAAAAATAGACGAAGACAAGTCGCTAGATGTACTCGGCACTCAGCCGGAACGGAACGGGGTAAAGGTATGCAAAAACATGCATCCCAACCACCACAATAAGCCAAAAAAAAAAAGGCTGACTCAAAAACACAGAGAAACGAACAAGAGGCGTCCGAGACCACTACGCCGTCCCCTCCCCCCCCCTCCCACCCCTCTGCATCTCCGCCAACCTCTTCTGTCTCTCCCTACTCTCCTCCACACTCCTCGGGTGCCTCTGCCACGTTAACCCCGTAACCACCACACCCCCCACAAGCACAAACGCACAAACCCTCATCTGCTCTCTAAACGCGCTCGCGTACGCCGCTCTGACCGCTTCCTGCTGCCCTTCCGAGAAACTCGGTAATGCAGCTAGGGAGGCGCGGAGAGAGGACAGCTGGGGGAGGGAGAGGGGGGAGGTGGCGTGGGTGAGAAGGGCGCGGAGGTGGCGGTTGAGGATTATGGTGCCGATGGCGAGGGAGATGGAGCCGCCGAGGACGCGGGATTGGCCTACGGCGCCTTGAGCGGCGGCTGGGGGGGGGTGTTAGTTTGGTTCTGCGATTAAGTTTAAGGGATGCGAAGGGGGAGGGTGGGGTGAAGGGGGAGGGTGGGGTGAAGGGAAAGGGAAAGTAAAAGGGAAGTAAGACATACCAACAGTATCAAAATCATGAGCCAACGCCATCATCATAGTAATACTCGTAAACGCCAACCCGAACCCCGTCCCCAAAATAACCTGATACCCATACTGCGCCCTCGGGATCCTCAGCCCATCCCCCGTCGTCGACAACAACCCCGACCCGAGACACGTCAGCGCCGTCGCAAAAATAAGCGCATGCGCAGTCAAATTTTTGCGTGTCGCGATCCCGCCCCCCAGCGTGGTGCCCAGAGCTACCCCGCCCAGGAACGGGAGCGTGTGGATCCCAGCCATGACGCTGCTGTCGTTATTCACGACTTGGAAGCGGATGGGGAGGTTGATGAGGATCATGAAGAAGGGAAACCCCACGATGAGGGAGGAGAGGATGCCGGGGCCTGTTGGTCGCTTCAAAGCTATTGAGAGGGGGAAGATCGCTTTAATCCGCAGCCCGGACCGACCGCTCTCGAGATACACGATCCATGCGATGAAGGCTACCCATGATGCGGCGGAGATGGTGAGCGTGGCGACGATGACGGGGCTGCTCCAGGCGTATTCTTGGGAGCCGGCTTGTTGGAGGGCGAATACCAAAAGGACGGTGGCGACGAGGAGGAGGAATGCGCCGAGGACGTCCATTTGGGCGATGGAGGTGGAGAGGCGGTTTTTGCGGTCCGCTTGCGCGGGCCAGGCGATGAGGATTAGGCCTATGCCGAGGACGGCGGCGGGGGCGTTGAAGAGGTATATCCACCTCCACGTGGAATTATGCGTTATCACACCACCCAGGATAGGGCCGAGGACGTAGGAGAATGCGAAAGACATGCCGACTAAGGAGGACATCAGGGCCCAGAGCTTGACGGGGGTGATTTGCGGGAGGACGATCATGGAGAGGGAGAAGAGGCCTGAGCCGCCGATGCCTTGGAGGGTGCGGAAGGCGATAAGCTGGTTGATGTTTGTGGCCAGGCCGGAGCCGAGGGAGAAGGCGGCGAAGAGAATCCAGGCGAGGATGCTGGCGCCTTTGCGGCCGATGCCGTCGGAGATGCGGGCGAAGATTACGGCGAAGCCTGGGGGTGGGCGTTAGGGAGGTGTAAAGAGAGGGTGGTGGGAGGGTGAAGGGGGAGTGAGGGAGGGGGCGTACCCATATATGAGAGGAGGTAGGATATCACAACCCAGGTAGTCTGTCCAACTCGTTAGCCATCATCTTCAATTCGCGAGAGTAGCGACGGGCACATACAGTAGTCGTAGCTGAAAAGTCCTCCCCAATAGACACCAGTGCCGTAGCTGTAATCGACGTCTCGAGTGTCGCGAGGAAAAGGCCAAGCAATAATCTGTAGACGTCACGTCATTAGCCGTTATCCCTCAGTATCACCAGCTCCACCATAGCTCCTCTCCACCAGAGCTCCATCCCACCGCAACATCCCCTCCCTCCCAAACTCCCACCTCCAACCCAGGATATATCCAGGAAATAACTCACGCAGTCGTAACACCGCCTAACCTCCACCCCTCCAGTGGCCTCAACGCCGCCTCCCCAGCCCTCTCCCTAAACCCCGACGAATTCGCCTGCGTATCCCCATTCTGCGCACCCCGTTCATGGAGCGTATGTGACGCGGCGCCGCCCTCCTCGGCCTTGCCGCTGCTGCCGCTGCCGTCTGTTTCTGACGGGGGGCGAGAGGACTTGGAGCGCCCGTCGAGGGAGACGAGGTCCATGGTTGTGGATGTTGAGGCGCGGTGTTTGGGCATCTGGGCGGGTGCGGGGGTGTGTGTGTGTGTGTCGATGAAGGTGGGTGGGTTGGTGAGCTTGGCGGTTGGAATTCGAGATGGGATATTGCTCGTGTGGTGTGGAGTGTTGTTTGTCGTCAATGGACTCGCGCGGCGACGGTGGTGGGTGGTGGTGGTGATGATTCAATCAATCTCACAATCAAGGCGCTCGCACCTCGGTCCCAGCAACGTATGCAAACCCAATGGCCTCACGAAACCCAAGCTCAGCCAAACAAATCCAATCAATCAATCAAACCAAACAAGCAGGAATTGGATATCGAATGGAGCACAAAAAAAAGAGAGAAGACGGGAAGAGGAGGAGGAGGAATAAGCTTCGCTCAAGAAGTAACCTTCTTCCCTTCTCCTAACGCACGCTTCCTCGCATATCTCTCGGTGATCGACTTGCTCGTTGCGTGTCCGTTCGTTCGTTCGCTGTCCGCTCTCCGGTGCTTTTAACGATCGATCGAACCGGACGACGGTTGGTGGGTGCGTCGGTTTCGGTGCAGGAAAGTCGCGCGGAGGAGTCGACAGAACGTAGCAGGATGGCCGTGGCGGGGAGGGTCGCTGGCGGCGGGACGACGTGCAGAGGGGGTTTAGCGGATAGGCGGTGGGGGGGGTTGCTTGTACGTCGGTCGCTGGGGAAAGGGGTGATCGGCGGGGGAGGAGGTGTTGGAGATGGAGATGGTGGTGAGGTTATGGGGGGAGGGGGAGGGGAGGGCCGAGGCCTGGACGGCGTGTGCCCAGCATCTGCCCAGTGTATGCCCAGCGTGTGCCCAGCATTTTGCCCAGTGATTGATGGGATGGACCGGGGGGGGGTGGACAAGCGGAGAGAGAGTCAACGGGTTCGACGTTGTCGATAAAGTACCATGTCTGCGTCTCCACCCCCATCTCCGCCGCGGCCCCGTTCGTCATGGGGGGGGGGTATGGGGGGGTGTTGTAGGACTCTCCACTCTCCGACTCGCACTTTCCATATGTGGACGGATATAACGGGGGGGATTTCGGGAGTTTCCTGGTGTAGAGAGGCGGATCGTTTAGTGGTGGTGGTTGACCCGGTAGTCGATGTTCGGAGACATGGCCAGAAGGGGTCGTTCGATTAGACTCGGTCGACTATCTAGATGCGGTTAGAAGGGGAGATTGAAGATTTATTGGGAGGGTGTGTGCAGGGATAAGGGTGTGTGTGCAAGGGACAGGGGGGGTGGCATGGAGGTGCATAGAGGTGCAGAATTAGAGGTACGTACTCTTTTCTACTGTTTTATAGACAGGGGGCGGGACAGGGGGTGGGACAGGGAGTGAAATGGGTACTTGGAAGGCTAGTCTGGATTGGGAATAGTGTTGTAGTGTGGTCTGTACTGGTGTCCGTACTCTTTAGTACTGAAATCTGTTAGTGGATGTACACACTGTACTCGATTTTATGGTAGTAATTTTTACTGTAGTGCTGATTTTACTGTAGTACTCGATTTTATACTACTGGTTTTACTATAGTACTGCATTTTATAGTAGAGTTGCATTTTATATTACTGTATTTTACGTATATCTACTGCATTTTACGTATATCTACTGTATTTTACGTATAACATCATATACTCTACCACATACAATACACCTCCGATGCACAACTGATTCCTCGTACATTTCAACCAATAACAAAACAACCAGCATGTCACGTGCCACCATATATCTCCTCTCCTCCCCCCCTACCAACCTCATCGCCCAGCCCGAAGCAACTGCCACATCTCCCTCCCTCCACTCCATCTCCATAACAATCTATTCCCGTCCTCCCACCGCCGATGCACTCATCCTTCCTCCGCCCCCCAGTGGAGATCTCAGTTGGACCTCATATCCCTCCCGTCTTCTACCTGCTGTCTTCTACCTCCCGTCTTCTCCCTCCTCCTTCCTCCCTGCCGTCCTCTACCTCCTGCCTCTACCTCCCCTCCCTCCCGTCTCCCTCCCTACCCCTAGCCGAACCCAATCTACCCTCCTCCTTCTCCACGCAACCGAGATCTCACCATCTCTTGGCTCTCCCCCCCCCCCGTTCCTCGTGTTGGATCTCCCACCCACCTCGCATTGTTGCACACAACCCAATCCATCCACGCGCACCGGACTCTAGGGACGAACCCGGCAACGTAGCTCCTTCCCTCTCCTGATCATCCCTCCGAGACGGGTACCGGACTGTCGGGTTTGGTGTGGGTGATTCCCTCGGCATCAGGGGGGTGTTGGGGATCCGATCCGATCCGATGCGTGCGCGTGTCTCATTTTGAGTATGTGGTGGTGTGTGTGTGTGTCAGGCTTGGAGTGTCATGTTTGCAGTGTCATGGTGTTGGTCCCAGTTTATGGGCGGACTGCGGCGGGATTATTTGGGGACTTGGGGTGTATGGGTCGTGTGCTCAGACAGACTCTGATGGATGCGAGGTTAGGCCGAGATGGATGTTGCCTCGACTCGGTCTTAAGTTGTAGATATGCGGTATGTAGAGTATGTAGAGTTGAGTACACTCCCGAAAATACCACCGCGACATACTCCGTACCTACTGTAGATACTGTATCTACGGTATCTACGGTATCACATGTATCGTATTCTACACACCCGTATATGATATCATACAGCACAAAAAATCCGACACATCACCTCGCACGAACCCCATCCGCCGCGGCAACTCACTCCCTCCCGCCGCGGTACGCTGAAGATGTCTCATCCGCCCTCACTTCCCATCACCCAGCCGACATGTCATGTCATCCCGTGCTCCCCTCCCGTCTTGCCGCGCGAGTCCGCTGGTAGTACTCCAGTCCAGCCCAGTCCAGTCCAGTACAGTACAGTACAATGTGGTGCACAACTATAAGGACCCGCGTGTAACGTAACCCCCATGCTGTCTCGTCTCGAATCTTGCGGTTACCGTGCCAGCAGCTGGTAGCTGGTGGTCTGTCCGCGATCCTGATTCTGCGGGTGTTGTCTCACATGCTGTCGATACGGCGGTGGCGGTGTCTTTGATAGCCCAGATGCACTTCCTTGCTTTGCGCGCCTACACACACCACCATGGTACAGCAGTAGTGGTGCAAGCGTATCGGCGGTGGTTGTGGTTGTGGTGCATACGAGCTGGTAGGGGCGGGGGGTAGGGGTTACTCACTTACTTACTGTACTTGTGCTGTAGATGGACGTGGTGGCGGGTGTTACCGCCGCCGTCGGCAACCGTCCATGCGCCGTGTGGTGCGATGTGCGATGCAAGCTGCGTGTGTGTGTGGTGATGCATGATGTGCCAAGGTAAGTCATGTGTGCGTGCCAAGTCGCGATGGTGGTATGTGGAACGCGGGGTAATATATATACGGCGTGGAAGCCGAGATGGTGTGTGTGTGTGTGTGGTGTGGTGTGGTGTGGTGCCAAGACGGAGGAAATGAGGGGAGGAGGGTATGGCCACGCTGGCAGTGAGGGTGTAAACAGGTTTGTTGCGCTGTGCGGTGTGGTGGGTGGTATGCTATATGTGTGATGTGCCGAGGTTGGATGTGGTGAGGGGTTTGATGGAGAGGGGGTTGCGTGTTGATAGGGGAGGGGTTGATATGGAGGAGGGGATGTGGAGGTAAGGGGTTTTTGAGAGTGTGAGGTAGATTAGGAGGTGTGTGAGGGTAAGATGTGGGATAGGTAGATGGGATATATAGCTCTTCAGAGTCGACGGTAGCCGTGAAGAGAGTCGTAGTGCCTCTTGGTTGGGGGAGTATGGCTGCAGAGGTAAATAAGTACGTAACCCTCTCCTATCTTGTAAGTGCAAACTGATATTTGCCTTGAATCTATCCTACTATAGTGGTATGTGCGTATCCAACAAATAAATCCATCTCAGTCGTGATAGACCTTCTATATACACCCCTTTTTCTACCCCCTTCCCCTTCCCTTCCATCAGCGACGCTGCCAGCCGTATATTCATCATACCCCAAAGAAACCAATTTCCATCACGATGTCCGTCGTCGTATATACACCCCCTTTCCCCTTTCCCCTTTCCCTCCACTTCCCTCATTCCCCCTACCCCCCCCTCCCCCTTAACCCTCCTGGGAGCCTGTCATCCTCCCACCAACTAACTCTTATATATCGCCCTCATAACCCCCCTCTCCACCCCCCCAACCACAGCCCTCACCCCCCCCTCCCCCCTCGGCACAACATGACCCTCCCCATGCTCCACCACCACCCTCCCCTCACTAACACACGCATCCCTCAGCGCCTCCCCCGCCCCATTCAACGTCACGTAATCGCGTTTTCCGCCCCAGACGTGCGTGGTGGGGATGGAGATCCGGGCGCCGGATGCTAAAAGGGGGGTGGCGAGGGGGTAGAGAGAGCCGGAGAGGAAGATTGCTAGGTCGAAGAGGGGGGTTGGGGGGGTGGTGGAGCCGTTGGAGGAGCCGTTGGTGGTGCTGGTGCCATTGGTGCCGTTGGAGTTGGCGGATGAGTCGTTGGTGGTACCGTTGGTGGTGGAGGATTTGATAGCAGCAGCGGAATCCTCGAGTAGTAAAAGAGCGAGCATCACGGCTCCCTGAGAGAAACCGAGACACGCATCGTAAGGGCCGTTGTCGGCGATGTAGGTGCGGATGTCGAGGAGGCCTTGGGCGATATGGGTGTCGAGGGTGTGTGGGGGGTGCCAGGAGAGGTAGGGGGGTGGGTAGATTGCTGTTATTTCTGGTGAAAGAGTTAGTTGGAGATAAAGGAACCGTGGAGGGGAAGAAGGAGCCATGGAGAGATGGCGGGGGGAGGAAAGAGCAACATGGGGAGGGAAAGTCAGGAAGGAACGATGATGGAGGAACGGAGGGAGGGAGGGAAGGAGCGACGGGGAAACGGGGAAAATGGAAAGTGAGGAAGCAGGGAAGGAGGTAAAGACCGAGGGGGGCAGGGGAGGAAAGAGCGAAGGAGGATATAGAAAGAACTGGGAAGGAGCGGTCGCAGCTTTCTCTCGGAAGGAACGATGCACTTCTCGCGGAAGGAGCGCTTGAAAATATGCAGAGGAAAGAACGATCGTCCAAAAGCATACTTCGAAAAGGAAGGTCCAACACGATGCATATCCAAGGCGACCCAGTGTGTATCCAAAGAAGGCACGACGCCATACATCTCTCTCTCAGAAGGAAAGAGCGACCCCCATGCCATGTGCATCCAATCCGGGGAAGGACCGACCACGACAGACCCAAACTACCGGGACTACCGGGTAGCAATGCAAGGACGGAGCGAGGGACCGGGGATACTGGAGGAAGGAACGCCCGAGGAAGGAGAGAGGAGGGGGAGGGGGAGGGAGAGAAACGGAGAGGAAAAGTAGAGTAAAGAGGCCGTACCTTTGGGAGCGGGGATATCGTATTCGCCCTCTGGGAAATCGAAGGTGTGGCTGTCGCCTAGTTGTTCGCGGATTTGAGCTGGAGGGGGGGTGTTAGTAGGTGCATCTCTTTGGGCTCTGACTGTCTCCCTCTGCTGGTGGAAGGGGGGATGGCCACTCTGATGGACTGGTGAAGGGGGGCATAGGTAACGCTTACCAGTTTGCGCTTCAAAGATCTGGGGAAGTGTTAGTATGTGCTTTCCGTATCTTGCGGGGGATATAAATGAAGCAAAAAGGGGAGGAAAGGGTATCGATGAGATAGACTGACTGAACCGGGGGTAGAGGGGAAAGGGGAAAGATGAAAGATGAAAAGAAAGAAGGGTCCAACGGGCAAAAAAGGGACCAAAGAGATAGAGAGAAAGACAGCGGTAGACAGAGTGAAATAGACAGAACGAGGGGCAATATAAAAAATGAAGATAGTAAGAAAAGGACCAACAAACATCAGCATTACACCCCAACCCATGCAAGCAGAGAAACCTCATCTTTCCCTCCTATTTTCCCCTTCCTTTCTTTTCCTCCCTTTTTCTCTTTTCCCCTATCCTCCTATTTCCCCTCCTTTCCCCAATAATTCCACCGACTCCTTTTCCCTCCCCTCAAAAAATACGAACGTCGTACTCTCTGATACTCGGAATCCCCGGAGCACGTGTCCCCCCTCTCTATCTCCCACGACGGACGGCCCGACTCTCGGATCCTCGGCACTTCTCTCGCCGGTACGTTGGTCGTCGATCGGATAGAGCGTTATGCACAGTATATAGTATGTACGTATGAGGGATATATACGACTTATACACCGTGGTAATAAAATACAGCCCGGATGGATCGCCTCTGCGTCGTTCGTTGGGGGAAGGAAAATAGGGTATAGATAACGTGCATAAGCACTCTAGTGATGAAATGTCACCTGCCTCCCCTCCCTCCCCTCTGTTGTATCAAAAAATCGCCGTAGCGTGTACACCCACCCAGCAGTACCTGGTTTTTTGCGCCATACTACAGTGAGATACGTAGTACCCCACCGAGAGTCCAGAGCGGTATCGTAGAGTGGGGTAACCACCCTCTCCAGTACAGTCTACAGTCTACAGGGACAAGGGCAAACTCTTAGCGCGCAACCACAGCCTTGGCGCGCGTTTCTCTTGGCGTCCGTTGGTCGGTTCGGCGTTAGGCGACCTACCGACATCTATCTATCCATCCATCCTTCCCATCCATGCATGCATCATTTCCATGGGGTGTGGTTCGGGGTTAGGGGTAGAAAGAACACGTACAAGCCCCCCCCCTAACCCTAGGGAAGGAAGGAGCATTAAGGCCCTCGGGACGTCGCCGTGGGTACGGCGTTTGGGTCGCCGGTCTGGGGCGATGGATGGAGGGATGTGCAACTACACCCCATGCATCAGGTAGGCGTGCATGGGGAGGATTGGGGTGGGTGGTGGTGGTGTGTAGGGGAGATGGGGGGTAGGGGGGTACGTACGTACGTAGGGAAGGGGAAAGGAGAATTCCGTTCGGTGATGTCTCCGTCGGTGATGGGCCCTGTTTGGATGGCCCCGTTCGGTGATTGATACGAACACCGTTTGTTCAACATGCGAAGTTCCTTGCTATTCTCCGGTGTGTTTGTGTTCTTGGGGTATGTGGTATGGTATGGATACGTGGTATGGGGTTGGGTATGGGGTTGGGTATGCGAACTCAACTCAACTCCGCGGCATACTTTACGATACGGATGATATGCGAACTCCGATACCTGCGTCCAGCATACCCCATGAACTGCCGTCCCTTGCTTGAGGGTTACGTACGCGCATACCCATGCCGTACATGGGATCTCGGATGTGAGGGAAGCATATGCTGTGGGTGGACGAGGATGAGGACGTGGATAGTGATGTGGACGTGGATAGGGATAGGGGTGTTACGCCGGCGCCGGTACAGTGGTTGAGGATTGCTTGGTAAGGTGTGATGGCGTGGTGATTGTGCAGGACTGCTGTGGTGTGATACCGTGTTAACTGTGCAGCAGTGCTATGGTAGTGGTGTTGGGGTTGATGATGTGGTAGAGGTGGTGATTCGGGGATACGCTGGTATGATAGAGCCGATGCCGTGGTAAGCTGCTTCGTGGATAGTATTATCGCATGCTGTGATACCGCGCTTGAAGAAGCCAGTCTCGTTGCCATGCGCTGCGGTTGTATCATCATGACAGTGCAGCTCGCCGACCCGACGGCTGCTGTGCTGTTATTGTTCGGGAGTATGTGGTGGTATGGTATTACAAACGGCTACTATGCTGTGCTATGCTGTCATCCCAACCACGCTTAGTATCACATCACACAATGTATCACCACCATCTTGCACACTGTCGATTCGATCTGCCGCCTCCCTTCCCTCCCTCATCTCATACAAGCATCTCTTGTGCGATATACTAGAAAGAACATCGGACAGCCCGGCCAACCACGTGCTCCCGTCCGTGTATCCCCTGATCAGCGTAGCATCGGATCGTAAACTCCATAATAGATGGACAGTAGAGTGCGCAGGGGGGATCCATGTCTCACCGGCGTGGCGAGCGCGTGGTGTGAGATTAGTATGGTGCTGTATAGTGGTGGGTTTTCGGTCGGTGGTGGTGTATAGTGGTGGATTCTCGGTCGGTGGTGGCGATGATGATGATGGACGGCATGGGGGTATGGGGGTGCAGTAGTGGTGTTAGTAGTGTTAGTAGTGCTAGAAGGGTTAGTAGGGTTAGTAGTGTTAGAAGTGGTGTTGGTAATTCTAGAAGAAATCGCCATACGGACTCCTGTATGGAGTTTATGGAGTTCCGGAGGGGGGGACATGACTCTGCGGGGAGATTGGCGTAATATCGTGGATATCCACTGTATTATACTAGATTAGTATTGTATTCGAGAAAGTGAGTGCGACTGAGTAATCACTCAACGGGTAGTGGCTGGCGGGATCAGTATGGGGGTCAGTTTATTACGATATGACAATGGGACGGCACGAATGGTTCTCCCGATGCCGATCGAGATGCCGTCTGTCAGTCGTCGGGGGTGGTGGGTGGTCTATCTGTCTGTCTAATTATCCCATTGGAAGGTTGATATTTGTGCACCTGTGCACTCTCTGGTGAAGGTGAAGGTGAAGGTGAAGTGTGGTAAGGGGGATGTATGGTAGATACTCTGTGTATAGAAGTGTAGCAGCCACACAGCTATACAGCCATACATCACCACTACCATACATCACCACAGCCTTTCTACCATACTACCATACTACCATACTACCATACAGCAATACAGCAATACAGCAATACCACTACCATACAGCCATACAACACCACCTCCTACCTCAAAAACCAACAAAACCAACAATGCAAATACCACCAACAATATCATACATATCACACATATCATACACACAAATCTGACACATACATGCAGATCGACGCACAGGGCATCCATCAGACGACAACGCGTTTCGCCATCATACTTTTATGGATGATGGCGAAACGCGACTCGTCATATTTCTACAGCTACAACAGCTATCCAGCCACCTTCAACGGGAACTGTGCCGCACCCGTGCCGTGTTGTGCCTGTGCCCGTGCCCGTGCGTTGCCCGTGCCGTTTTTCAGGAGAAAATAGGGAAAAACAAAAGAAAAGGCTGCATAGTACAGTGCAGTACAGTATAGTATGGTAGCATACAAAGATGAAGCTATATAGAAATCGACACGACGATATTTGATACTGTATAACTAGCCTGTATAAATAAGCTGTATAATTACTATAATTACTCTGTATAATTTACCCTGTATAACCAATAACCAGCATAAACCAACTACCGCAACCCATCTGACCAAACAACCAACCTCGGCTACCGGGGGGCATCATCAACCCTAAACCCTAATAGTACCATGCTAACTCCACTTCCACCAACGTACCTCTACATGCCGTGCTACATGCACATGCATCGCCCTGTACCTGAACTCCGTCCCAAACTACCACAAACCTACCCTACCAATCGTGCCAGGCACATGCAGATGCAAGTACCGGAGGCATAGTCAACTACCACACTAACTACCACCACCTTCCCCTTCTTCGCTTAGCTTTATTTCGCTTCTTAGTCTGCTTTTCTTTTCCCCTTGCCCCCCATCCCATCTCATCCCCTCCTATCCCTTTTCACAATTCTTCATTTCCCCCCATCCCATCCCGTCATCATTTGCTTCATTATTCTTCGATTCTCTATTCGCCCTTAACTCTCCGCGTTTCATGCATTATACTCTGTATATACTGCAACCCTACACTTACATACTACACATCTGTACATACTTTCTCTCTTCTAGAAAACCCCATCTAGAAACACTGCACATAATACCAATTCCCCCAATTCAATAACCCCCTTCTTCAAATCCAAATCAATCCCCTTCTCTTCTTCAAAGTCTCCACAATTGAACCCTCCCGAAGAAAACCCACTCCCTACTCCCAAGAAATCTCCAAAATCATCCCGACCCCCCCGCCGCCCGCAACCGCGACGCCACGGAAGACCGCAGGTCCTACCCGTTCTCGGACATACCTCCCCCTTTGGATAGTTCAACTCCACCGAAAACGTGCTCCACCACCACCCACCACCACACGAGAGAGAGAGAGAGAGAGAGAGGGTTACGAGGAGGAAACACAGACAGAGAGAGAGACGGAGAGAGTGTGTACCTGGTACTAGGGTCGTCGTCCATGTCCATGGTACAGTACTTACTACTCCATCGCCACTTACTCTCCTTCAATATCCATTATTTCTCGCCGCTAACAACCTCCCCATACCTAACTCTACCTACTCTCTCGACATACATACGACTTGTGCTCTCGCCTCTGCGTTCTCCGTTCCCTGGCTGGCTGGACTGACACTCGACTGGACTGGACTGGATTGCTGGAACGAACTCCTGCACCTCTGGACCGGCCTGGTCGCCTTTCTTTTTTCTTTTCTTACCTGACCCATCACATCACTCTGCCCCTCGAGTACTCCCGTACTTTCCCCGGTCCGTCCCCACTACCACCACCGCCCGCCATCGTGCTGCAGATACCGACAATCCCGTCACTCTACGCGTGTGAGCAGTCCCATGTCGTTCCATTCCTGTACATACCAAGCCATACCAAGCCATCCTATTCCAAACTATACCAAGCAATACCAGCCATACCAAGCCGGTCCAGCGCCATCCATCCCAACCATACCAAGCCATCATCCCATCCCGTACCAGGCCAAATCCAATCCCAAAGTCCCCAAAGCCTCCACTGTACCTAGCCGCGCACGCACGTCTCTGGCTGCCACTCCACTGCAAAAAATCACTCCTCGACGTTCCGCCGGACCCCCCCGTCGCCCAGCCCAAGAAAACCACCAAGGTCCACCTCGTCCAGCCCAGCCCAGCAGCCCACGCCCTCCCCACGCACCTCCCTCCCTCCCGCAGATAAGATCATCGCTGTCTCGCCTCTCCCACCGAACAGACGGCCTCCCCTTCGACGACACTCGAGAGAAACACGCCCTCAAAGCATGTTTCCTTCCCCGCATTGCTGCCATTCCTCCACCGACACTCTCTCGACTACCACGACAACGACGACTACATCCTCGACTACACAGGCACCTGCGGAATTACACATAACCTCCCCCACCACGATCCCCCGAATCCCGGATCCCCGCCTCCCCGCCGCTGCCTGATGGCAACGCCATAGACGCCTCATACTCTCTCTCCTCCCCACCGACATCCGGATAGAGCTCACGCTCTCCCATACACAACCGCGGCCATGCCCGCCCTGACATCCGCGCACCCCTCCCTCCGCGCCCTCGCCCTCGATGTCGAAGCCGCCCTCGCCTCCCTCTCACAGCGCCTCGATTCGCGCCTCGAC